ACACTAAAATTTGAGAATCACTGCCTTCCAGTAAAGTGTGAAAAAAAATGGAGGGAAATCCTTTCTGTCACTAAGTATCCAAGAAGGAAGGAGGAGGCTGAATTCTAGGTAAAGAAAAGGGAAGCAAACAAGCTAACGATGAAGCTTGCCTAGTTCACAGCTTTCCTTAGGTTTTCCACAGTTCCGACTGCTGTAGATTTAAGCCAGAATAAGTATGTGCTACAAATATGTGCTGTATAACACTGGTGGCTGTTTGTGTTATGAACCCCAACAGTGAGCCTGCTTCTAAGATAATTCATTCTGTCAGCCCTAAAGATGCCAAAGATGAAGTCTGCATCTTCCTAGAAGAGCCAAGTAGGTAAACTAGCAGTTAAAACACAGATGGTCCACAGGGAGATACCAGTTGACCCCCCACTAGGATGGTTACCATAAAGCAGACAGGCAATAGCAAGTGTTGGCAATGATGTGGGGAACTTGGAACTCTTATACATTGCTGGTAATGTAAATGGCTGGAGTGTGAAATGATGCACCTCTTTGGAAAACATTTTGGCAGTTCCTCAAAAAGTTAAACATAGTGTTACTATGTCATCCAGGAATTCTACTCCTAGGTATATACTCAGAGTAACTGAAGACATATGTTCACACAAAACTGTTGATAGCAACATCGTTTCTAATAGCCAAAAAGTTAGAAACAACCAAAATGTCCATCAATTGAAGAATAGATAAACAAAAATGTGGTATATTGATACAATGGAACATTATTTAGCAATAAAAATAAATGAAGTATTGATAAATTCTACAACATGGAAAAACTCTGAAAACATTATGCTAAGTCAGTGGTCGGCAAACTGCGGCTCACGAGCCACATGCGGCTCTTTGGCCCCTTGAGTGTGGCTCTTCCACAAAATACCGACTTCTGCGCAGGGGCCACGAACTTTCAATCGCACTGTACTTGCGCGCCCGCACGTGGTATTTTGTGGAAGAGCCACACTCAAGGGGCCAAAGAGCCGCTTGTGGCTCACGAGCCGCAGTTTGCCGACCACTGTGCTAAGTGAAATAACAGGTACCAAAGGACTTATATATTATTCCATTTATATGAGCTGTCCATGATAGGGAAGTCTATAGAGACAGAAATTAAATTAGTAGTTACCAGGGATTGAGAGGAGTGATGTTAATAGGCATGGCTTCTTTTTGGGGTGATGAAAATATTCTGTAATTAGTAGTGGAATTAGATTGCACAGCTCTGTGCATATACTAAAAGCTACTAAATTGTACACTTTAAAAGTGAGTTGTGTAGTGTGTGAATTATATCTCAGTTTCATAAAGCTATGAAAGAACTGTCCAAGAACAAGGTAGTAAATTTGACTACATGAAAAAAAAAAATGCATTGGGATTATTTATAGGAAAAACTCACTTCTATTCTCTTCGACTCACACAACACTTCTGACACCACATTGAGCAACTCTGTGATAACAGCTAAGTGTTCTAGAATTCATTTCAGTTCTTACACAGTCTGCCTGTGAGTCTTATACGTCTCACAGGTTAAGGACTCCATCCCACAAGACTGCCCATTCCCCACTTCAGGATGTCAATTGCAAATCCAGGTTGTCACTGATGCTGCTGACCAGCTAGCTATAAATCAGAGGTTCCCATGACCCCCTTTCTCAGGTCCAATTATTTGCTAACACAGCTCAGAGAACTCAAGAAAACAGCTTATTTACTAGATTACTGGTTCATTATGAAAGGATCTAACTCAGGAACAGCTATAGGAAAGAGATTCATAGGTGAAGTCCAGAAGGGTCCTGGGTGCAGGAAATTCTCTGCCCCTGTGGAGGTTAGGTGTGCCACCCTCCGAACACATGGTAATGTTCACCAGCCCAGGAGTTCTCCAAACCCTGTATTTTGGGAAATTTTATGGAAGCTTCATCAGGTGGGCATAATCAATCAGGGACTCAATCTCCTGCCCCCTCCTCTTCCTGCAGGACAGGCAGGGAGCTGCAGGCTCCAACCTCCTAATCATGGCTTGGTTGGTCTTTCCGGTGACCAGCTCTCATCCTGAAGCTATCCAGGCCCCCTCCTCCCCCCAAGAGTCTCCTTCTTAGAACCAAAGAGATTGCTCTCATCCAGGAAATTCCCAGGGATGTAGGAGGTCTGTCAAGAACCATGGTCAATGTTCAAATGTTAGAAGAAAAGATGCTCCTAGTGCTCTTATTACTTAGGAAATAATAAGGGTTTTAGGAGTTCTGTGTGAGGAACTGGGAGCAGAAACCATATATATTTTTAGAAATTTATTTCACAATGTCACTAACATACCATACAAAGGTAATCAGAGTCCATATGGGGCTCCCCCAAAGGAAGAAGAACACCCACTTATTTGGTAGGATGGGGCAATATGAGGGAAGACTTCCCACAAAAGGACTTTAGGGATGAGCATATCCTGAGGCCAGTCACTGGGGACAGAGCCCTTTTCAGAAACAGCAGGTAATTGGAAGTATGGGGTTGGCAGGCAAAGAAAGAGAAGAAGGCATCATGACTAAGAGCCTTGGGGGATTCAAATCAGTGGAGAAAGGATGGACTTGTTAATAGTGGTGTTGGTTTAACTGAAGGCCACATGAAAAAAGATAAAATTGAAATTATTTTTCATACTGCATAATACCATTTATTTGTCTCTCCGACTAGGTCATGAGCTCCTCAAGGACAGTGTTAGAAAACCTTCGATCTTATTCCATTGAACTTTTCCCTACAAAAAAAATGAAACCATAATATAGGCCTCAGTGAAGTGGTAAAAATCTCCTTCCAAGGAAAAGATTAAGACATTCGACTGTTGGCATTTACTCCAGCTTCTAACTCTCACTGCCAGTTTACAGGAAATACAGGAGATAAAGGAGTCTGTTCAGTGACAGACACCACAGGGTACAATCAACAAGATCTAGAATGTGGTTACTTCAGATTTGTTCTGCTGCTTTGTGAGCAGCTTTCTTTAACAAATAAATGCCCCACCCTATTCCCCCCAGAAGAGGTCAGGGCACCTTTAGATTAAAAGAGACTTGAAGGGCAGAGATAGTAACCAAATGCAATATGTGGGTCTTATTTGTACCCAGTTAAAAAAACAACACCAGAAAAACAACAACTTTAAAAAGCAATTTTTTAAACTAATGAAGAAATTCAAACCCTGTGAGGATATTGGATAATTTCAAAGAAGTATTGATTTTATTAAGTGCAATAATGGGAATATGTTTATGTTAAAAAGAGGAAGCTTTATATCTTAAAGATAACGATTGAATTATTTACAGATAAAATGGTCCAATCTTTGGTATTCACTTTAAAATAATCCAGTAGGGGTATGAGGGGCAAATAGGAGGTATAAATGAAACAAAATGGTATGTTTGTTAATAATTATTAAAGTTAGATGACAAGTAAATGAAGACTTATTATACTATTCTTATTACTTTAGGGTACATTTGAAAATTCCCAGAACCAATGAAGGCTTTTTCAGCAGGAGAATGCCAAGATGAAATTGGCATCTATGGAAGTGTAGCCCTGGGAATAAGAAGGTTAGAGAGGGTGCTGTCGGGAGGCTCATAGTTCAAGGACTGAACTGCTCCATTGGGATGGAGGGGAGGGTCTGGACAGGACAGTATAAAAGGAAACCTGCAGAGTTGGAGAAGCTAAAGAAATGGGAATTGAGGATGACGCTCAGGTTTCAGGCTGCATGATGGGGCCATTCACCCAGCAAAGGAATTCAGAAGAGATTAAAGTTAGGGGTGAGGGAGTGATAGATCAATTCCTGACAGGTTGCATTTGAGGTGCCTGTGGACATCCAGAGTTTAGGAAGGAGGCCTGCACTGGAGATGGGTTTTGGCAATTACCAGCTGCAGCACAATTTCCATGGAAACATGAAAAGTGTAGGCACAAGAAAATGCTCTTGTCATGTGCAAGCATTATCCAATTAATAAATTAATCTAGGGCTCTTTTAACATGAAAAAATCAAAGTGGCTTAACCCAGGAGAAGAATATAAGAAAACCAAATAGTAGTATATGATATCCATGCTATTCTGTTTTTCTCAATTTCCACATTGAACTTGTGATAGAATGTCAAGGTTTAATTGCAGGATTTCCTTATTTTGCTTTATTTTCTCCAATAAAAGAGTTTTCAAGAAAACACTGTGGTTTTGATACATGGTGGCGGAGGGGGAGGGCGGGGAGGGAACCTCATGTGAAAGATCAAACTTTATCTTTTCTTTTTTACTTTGCCTTTCTTCTATTTTGCTCCTTCCGTGTTGTCTACGGTATTGTAAAAACTGAAGGAAAATGCCCAAACCATCTAGGTCTAGGGCCGTCCTTCAATTTCCTGTCTTTAAAACAGCCATGACGGTGTTAAATCCTTGGGTTGACATGTGTATCCGGAAGGAGCCACAGAGCCCCTGATACAGAAAAGCAGTTTATGTCTGGGATTGATTTATGCCTTTGGAGCAGGACAAAGAGAATAAAACCCAGCCCCTATGGTATCTGTTGCTGGGGAAGCTCAGGCCATCTGCCAGGCTCTAATAAAACAGGACAAAACAACATTTGGTTTGAAGCACAGAATGATTTTCCAAAGTGAAAATAAAGCTTGTCCGCAGTTGAGGCTCTTGTAAGTCTTTAAATATGTATATTTGTCTTTAGCATTTATATTCAAATAAAAAGTAAAGGACATCTTTTTCTGTTCTGGGCTTATACTCAAAATCTTGTGTTGACAACCCAGTTCTAACTCCTCAGCCTGCCATGGGAAGGCTCCATAATTTGGCTTCACCCAGGACCACTTAAATCAGAATTTTGAGGGGTTGGACCCAGGCATTAGTTGTTTAAAAAAGAAATTCACATTAGAACTGCAATCAAGGTTGAGACCCCTGTGGTTACAATGTGAGTGAGGGAAAGATAGCTGAGGCGTTTGGACTATCTATGGTCAGAAGTAAATGTGAAACGTTAATGTGCATCACCTCTCTCTGCCCCGCTCACAGGTCAGCGCCGTGCGGGTGCATGTGAACAGCTCTTCCGAGAACCTTGACTACCCGGTCCTGGTCGTGGTGCGTCAGCAGAAAGAGGTGCTGTCCTGGCAGGTTCCGCTGCTCTTCCAGGGACTGTAAGTGGGTCTTTTCCCAGACAACTTCACGACATCGCTTCCTTCCAATGGCCCAGATCTTAGTTGGTCTTTGCCCGAGTGAAATGAGAAATCCGACCTTTGGAATGTTGGCATGTGATGCGTGCTCAGTGGAAACGCTAGTCGTGGTACATATGCTACGTGTTCAGCTCTGCTCAATAGCCATCCCCTTTGAAGTTCTCCTGAGAACTCTGCCCAGATTTGTAGCACCCTGAAGAACTTTTACCATTGTAATTCTATTCAGAATCAAATCAATGTTCTGTAGCTCTTGGTTGGTTCGCGGGTCATCCATTGAGGACAGGGGCAGACCCAGAAGTCAACCTAAATGAGTGACACTTCTTCCATTTGTCAAAATGCCCGCCGAGTCTGCAATCTTCATTCCATAAAATGTATTGAGCATGACTAGGTGATAGGTGCTGGAGATACAACAGTGGGGAAAAGATCCCAACAGAGTGTCTGCCCTCATGGAATTTATATTTTTACAGGGAAACTACACAAGGCACTATAGGACTATAAATGAAAACCCAGAAGGCATTCAGACATGGACATAGAGTATGAGTTAAAATGATTTTGAAGGCGGAGGAATTTGAGAATTAAAATACTGATTTGGACTCTGGGACTTTCTTTATGTTCCATGTAGCAAAAGCTTGAAGAAGAATAAAAAAAAAAAAAAATGGAGTTGCCTGATTGTTTTATCAGGACAGTTTCTCTTTTACAATGTGGTATTTTTCCTCTTTGAATTAGGAGGATGGGTTAGTGTAATGTAGTTACTGCCTAAGTGAACAGGTCAGCACTAAACAGACTTCACAGCCCTGTTACTATGTCAGAGAGCCCTACACCAAAAACACTGCTTCTAAAATCACCATCAATGGGTCCAGTCTGACATTTAAAATATAAGGGCTTGAAAACAAATTCGGAGAGAAGTGAATCGCAATAAACTTCTTTCCCAGCTTGTTCATTGAGTCTCTCTCTCTCTCTCTCTCTCTCTCTCTCTCTCTCTCTCTCTCTCTCTCTCTCTCTCTCTCTCTCTCATTCTGGCTGATCTTTCCCTCCATTGGCTGCTACAGATACCAGAGGACCTACAACTACCAGGAAGTGAGCCGTACCTTATGTCCATCAGAAGCAACCAATGAAACAGGACCGCTGCAGCAACTGATATTTGTAGATATAGCATCCATGGCACCCCTAGGCGCCCAGTACAAACTGCTGGTTACCAGGATCCAGCACTTCCAGCTACAGTAAGCAGGACTCCCTGGGGCCTTTCTCTGTTCACTCGTCTGCTCTTCCTGCGCATGTGCCTGCTCAACCCAGCTTCCTTCCTTACAGATCAGCACTCCAGAAGGACATTTTCTACTGGGCACATTGTCTTAGCACCTTCTGACCTCTCCTGCTCACAGATGGGCAGCAGGGCCTTATGTGCTCTGTGCAATAGGGAGGCAGTAGGAGGCTGGTGTAGAGAGGAAGGGTGGTTGACCTCCTAGGTGTCTGTTCTCAGGGACGGGTGAGGGCCCTGTCCTGTCTGCAGTCCAAGCAGGTGTCACTGGTGGCCGGGTATTTTGTATTACTCTCCTGGAGGAATTTTTGGTTTTGTTTTAAGAAAGACCTTAAATAATTTTCTTCTATCCTTATTTCTATTCAGTTTTCTCCTCCCAGGTTAGGAATGTGCATAGTTAGAAAATAATATGTTATGTGGCTTTGTTCTTTGTGCAAAAACTAATGACTACTAGTATTTCCTCCTTTTCCTTGCACTTTCATTCTTTGTGACAAAATCAGTTGTGATACAACAGCTCAAATTGTTCATATTAGAGATGGATTATAACAAATTTAGTTAATGATATTGTCCCCAAGGGATTTGTTCTAGCCCCAAGGTTACCCTTGTAAAACATTATATAAATCTGTGTGAAAATTTAAACAGAAAGGCTAAGCCTGTTCCTTAAGAAAGCCAGAGACTTCAGGGACTTTTCTGCACTATCCTACTCTAAGCTCAAGGCTTTGTAAGGGTTCAAATCATCTTTTCCCCTCTCAGTGTTACACACACACACACACACACACACACACACACACACACTAGAGGCCTGGTGATGAAATTTATGCACTCTGGGGGGCGTCCCTCAGCCTGGCCTGCACCCTCTCGCAGTCCAGGAACCCTTGGGGGATGTCCGACTAATGGCTTAGGCCCGCTTCCTACAGGGAGCGGGCCTAAGCTGTCAGTTGGACATCCTTAGCACTCCTGCGGAGGCGGGAGAGGCTCCCGCCACCACTGCTGTCCTCGCCAGCCATGAGCCCAGCTTCTGGCTGAGTGGCACTCCCCCGGTGGGAGCACACTGACCACCAGGGGGCAGCTCTTGAGTTGAGCGTCTGCCCCCGGTGGTCAGTTCATGTCACAACGACTGGTCGTTCCGCTGTTCGGTTGATTTGCATATTAGCCTTTTATTATATATATATATATATATATATATATATATATATATATATATATCAGGCATTGGCAAGCTATGGCTCACAGGCTGGTCACTGGTTTTGTAAATAAAGCTTTATTAGAACACAGCCCTGCCCATTTATTTACATATTGTCTATGGCTGCTTTTATGCTCTAATGACAAAGCTGAGTTGTGAGTAGTTGGGAGAAAGACATTATGGCCTGCAAGCCTAGAATATTTACTCTCTGATCTTTTAAGAAAAGGTTTGCCAATTCCTGATATAAAAGAGCAGACACATGATTAACAATTTGAATTAAACAATTTGAATTAAACAATTCATTTAGAAAACTGCATTCCAAAATGATAGAATACCTAACCTTTTCAAGTACATGCGCAACATTTACTAAATTTTCCAGGTTCTAATACATATCTGAATTATTTCAAAGGACTGAAATCCTTTATATGGAATTGAAATAGAAGTAAACCACAAAATGGCAGAAAAAATCACAAATATTTGGAAATTAAGTATCTATGTCTAAATAACTTATGAGTCAAAGAATATATCATAATGAAAATTAGAAAATATTTTTAACAAATAATAATGAAAATATGACATATTTAAACTTCTGGGATGCAACTAATCACTGCTTGAGGAAAATGTATAGCTTCAAAACTATATGTTAAAAAAAAAAGAATGGCTGAAAACCAGTGTGTTAATATCCATTTCACAAAATTGAAAAAAGAATGAAAATTAAACTCAAAGAAAATAAAAGGAAGTAATAAAATAAAAGCATGAAAAAATGAAATAGAAAACAAATCCACAATGGCCAAAATGAACCAAACCACAAGTCAATTATTTGAAATGACTAGTATTTTTTATACCTTTTTTAAAAATAAAAGTGACAAGCAAGCCCATTGAGGGGAAAAAATAGGCAAAAGATTTTAACAGATACTTCACCAAAGAAGCTATTCAAATTATCCCAAAACACAAACCCACTAGCTCTCAGCAATACAAATTAAAATAACAAGATTTCACTACAACTACAAAATTGCTATAATTTGAAAGGTTTGACAATGCAGTTCCACTCCTAGTAACATACCTAACTCCTAGATTTATGATTGTGGTATTCATTTAATAGAATACTACACAACAATTAAAATGAACAAACTATTGGTATACTTAACAACAGGGAAAACCCTCACAAACACAATGCTGAGATAAAGAAGCCAGACAAAAGGGATCCATGCTGTGTGACTCCTTTTACATAAAGTGTAAAAGCAGACAAAGCTGTTTCGTAGTTTAGAAGTCGGGGGAGTGGTATCTTTAGCAAGGAAAGAGGAAGTGCGTGCTTATGTTTGCCTGGTGAGAGTCCATTCGGATATATGCTTATACTTTTCTATGTATGTTATACTTTAATAAAGTTTTTAAAATCCAGAGTATTTAAGCACAGTATGTACTACTATTTGGCAGCTTGTTTTCTGATTAGAATTTCCTGTTCCATTATAAAGTGCTCCTTAAATTTTTTGAAGTCAACTTATAGAGAAGTCTGGTGCCAACCGAGGCACTAATAGGAATCAAATGTTTATATTGGTCTTCTCTACACCCCATGACAGTGCATATGCGTAGAGACAGATGGACACATGGATGAATGAATGGTTAGAAGGAGGGAGAAATAGGCATGGCGTTTTTCCAAGTCCTCCATTAATTTTGGCATAGGAAAAGACGACATGGTAATTCAAGAGCCAAGAACCACCCTTCCCCCCACCCCCCACCCCCAAAAAAGACAGAAGAAGATTTTCTGGTGGAAAAGGTCCACCCAGATCAATTAAATCAGAGTCTCCAGCAGAGAGGTGTGTGCATTAGTACATCGTTTCTTCGTTTCCTAGGTGATTCTAATGTGCAGCTGGAAGTGAGAACCAGTTTCTAATTATTGTGCTTATGTTGGATTGTTTTAATAATTAAGCCTATTAATGATGTTAAACAACATGAGAATTCATGGTTATACATTGGAAGGAGGTGAGAGCACATCATTTGGACAGAGTGTGGTTTCAGCTTTCAGCCTGGCCTTTACTAACTGGTTTCTGTGCCTTTGACCTGTCACTGTCACCTGGTGGCAGTGTACTTAAATTCTAGGGTAAGGAGAGGGTAAGGGCAAATAGGACAATGAAAAGTTATTTGAATAGAGAAGAATAAAAATGATAAGAGCCTGAACATAGTATGGCAGCAATGACATCTTAAAGGGAAGACAAGGGGTCAAGTAAGATGCCTGGGGATAATGCACAAATTCAACAAATATATGTTGCAGAATAAAACTATATAGTCGACATGAGTACTTGCAGCCTTCAACCCTCAAGATCTATGTAGGGCTCTTGGGTCTTTGCTTTGAAAGAGAATTTTGAGTGAGATAGCCAGCTACCATGCTGTGAGAAGTAGATTTTTTTGTTTTTCTTCTTATATAAATTAACCCATTTATTATAGGCTCACAATGTTTCCAACTGTGGAGCTTCTATTGGTCTTTCAATTCCTTCAGTCTTCTGATGGCTGACTTTACTGAGATGGCAGAAGTGGTGTTGTAGGTCCAGCACCACCAGCGACTGTTTTCATGCAGGAACCACAGTGCCAGATCCCCATGGCTCGCCCTTCATCTTGGTTTTGCCACAGAAGGAGCAAGTGTACTTGGCATACTGGCTGATTTCAATTTTCTTCACCATTTTCCTGAGGGAGGCGCCATAACGGGTCCCATGTTTACCGACGACTCCAACCTTGGTGCGTTTAGCCATGTTGCCACGAACTGAAGAAGTAGATTTTTTGAGGAAATGGATGAGTGAAGAGGTTTTTTAGACCATTTTGCTCTATGTCATGTAATCAACTTTGATGTTTTGGGATAGACTACAGTAATGATTTACATTACTTTTCAAAGTTGTTGTTGTTGAATGCTATGTCTGGCAAAAACAGTGCTTTAGGTGGGAGCAGGTGCATCCAGGTTACTTTACAGCAATAGAATTAGGACGACTTGGTGATTAATCTAATGAGAAGTAACTAAAAGGGAGGAACTCAAGATGACTCTAACAATGTTGTTCAAAGTCTGGTGAGGTTTACTGACAAACAGACGTAGTGGGTCAGGATCAGGGAAATGAGAGAACATCCCATTTTGATCATGTGGAGCCCAGCAGGTGGTTAGTCTTCTGTGACTAGAGCTCAGAAGATAGCCCTGGACTTGGCTGGACATGGAGACTTGAGATATACTAGCATTTTAGTGGCAACTGAACATATATGTGATTTTTTAATGTCAATTGAATATCCTACATAATAAAACCCTAATATGCAAATCTACCGAACAGCAGAACAACCAGTTGCTATGGTGCACACTGGCCACTAGGGGGAAGACACTCTATGCAGGAGCTGCCCCCTGGTGGTCAGTGCACTCCCACAGGGGGAGGACTGCTCAGCCAGAAGCCCAGCTCACGGCTGGCGAGCACAGCGGCAGTGGCAGGAGCCTCTCCCACCTCTGCAGCAGTGCTAAGGAACCCTTGGGGGATGTCCACCGAGGGGTCCCAGACTGTGAGAGGGCACAGGCCGGGCTGAGGGACAAATGTGCACAAATGTCATGCACTGGGCCTCTAGTATATATATTTGTGTGTATATGCTGGTATATATGAAAATGTATGTGGCTAAGGAAAATGAGGAGATCAAAAACAGGCTTATGGATAACACTCTCATTTAAGGAATTGTCTGAGAAAAAGGAACTATCAAAAGAAGCTGAGTAGGCACAGTCAAATGTGTGGAAGAAAACCCACAGAGCCCAAGGTGGGAAAGTTTCAAGACCAGGAGTGGTTGTCAGTGTCAAAGGTCACGAGTAGTCACTAGATTCAGCCGTTAGGAAGTGACTGTTACCTTTAGCAAAGGCAACTTCAGGGAAATGGTGAGAAAGGGGTCTTGATATGTTTTAAGGTAGAAAAGGATCCTGATAGCAGTGGGAAGAGGATAGAATGAATGAAAGATGCAAGCAAAACACTCTTAAGAAGCTGGTTTGTGAAGGAGAGGGAGGATATAGAATAACATCAAAGAAGGGAAATACAAGGAAAAGGAAGGGTTATTGTTGGGTTGTTTTTGTTTGTTATTTATTTTGAAAATGGTTGAGACTAGAATATATTTATAAACCAAAGGGTAGAAAGGCAAATAAAAGTGGATTTTGTAGAAGCAAAGTCCCAGAGAAGGGAAAGAAGTATAGACTTTAGCGCAAATGTGCAAAGTCTATACTTACACTAGAGCAATGGGGTGGAGGGTTACAGTGGACTGGAGCATCGGTAGGGGAGGGTTGGGTAAGCAAAGGGAGTTCCTGACAGATGGCAGTAAGCAGATAAGAGGAAGTGATATTCTCAAGTCCATAGTACAGTGAATAATGGGGTATAATTTCCTTCTACAACAAAGCAAGGGTTTAGAACGCCTTCTCTGACCTGTGAAAGGGGCTTGCTATCATAAAGTAGATAATATGCCCTGACTCTCTCAGTCCTCTCTGGTACTCACCTCAAAAACCACTTAGCTTTTGTCCTTACTTCTCTCTCACTTACCCTTTCTTCCCATCCCCCTTTCCCTTTTCTTCTGTGTGATTACTCTCCTGTATATATTTCTCTTATCTTCCCCATGAGCCTCCCTCTTCTTCTTCTGTCTTATCTGCATGCTCATCTCTCTTGATTCCATCTGTCCCTTTTCTCTTCCCCCTCTTCCTCAAACTAGCCAAAACAAAGGAACTAAGTCAGTTTTCAGTTTTTCTTATACTTATTGAATAATCATTTATTTCCTGGGTTTAAAACAAATAAGACGGAGTTTTTATACTTCTCTTTCTAAAATTAAAGGTGCACTTGAGTCGGCAACTGACTTTGTTCTGTTGGGTAATGACCCTTGATAAAAACAAACCTCCCCCCCCCCCCCCGTCAGAGCCTATGGGGAAGGAAGCAGAACTTTCCATGTGTAATAGACGCGATGTTTGTTTTACACACACTGTTGACTCCATGAGAAAGGGAGCACTTAAATGTGACAATCTTAACGAAAACAATGTGTGTTAACTGTTTGTATGTGTTGTACTGGTAAAGAAAAAATAAATAACAAGAAAAAAAACTCAGAAAATTCAGATCAATACTCATACATTCCATTACAACTGGAATTCAAGTGATAGGGAGGAATATAAAAACGTATTTCTGGCCAGAGGAATCTGGTTCCTTCTGGATATTTCATGATGTGTGTTGCTAGCCAAGAAAATCAGTGTCCTTTTTGTTCCCCTGACCTGGCAATGAACAGAATGGTTGCCCTGGTAACAGCAGATGGCACTCCCCACATGAAGAGGGCGCTACCTGGCACACGCAGCACTGTGGGTTCTCACTCCGGCCGGCCATGGCATCTCAGGAGCACATACACAACTGGACTGGACACTGACTTTGTGGCTCTTTAGGTGACTTAAGGCCACAAGCTCTCAACTGTACTTCAGCAGAGTCAAGCCTCAACACTGAAGGTTATTTCTGTTGAGTGTGGCTATGTAAAAATTGTATCCATTGCTGAATTCTGAGCCCAGTCTGTCAACAGCCTAAATTGCTGGTCATTTAGAAATAGTGCTCAAATTTTATGACTTTTAAACAACACCTCCAATTATAAATTTCTTAAATGTTTGGCATGCCCTTTCTAAAGGAATCTTTAACACAATTGTTTAAAACTATTTAATTTTTATAAAAGGAAAATTAGGAGTGGACAGAAAGACTATTTAGAGAGCACCAGGCTATGAACCTGGGGAGGGACCTCAGGAGAAGTTCAGGTTAAAATTCCCAGAAGTTCAGGTTCAGATTCCCAGAAATGCAAGCCACATTGGAGGGTTGGGGGCATGCCATTACCCAGGTGCGAACACTGAGAGTGTGGTGTGGGTTTGTATGAGTGATCTTCATGGCTAAAGATGAGGCAAAACCCACCACGAATAAAAGGCTAAAGCAAAACTGTAATCGAGGACCAAACTTGTCTTTGTGTTTTCCAGCCTCTTGGACTGTTTCACATACGTTCATTCCAGACAGCACTCTGTACCACAAATGTGTGCTATCTGCATGCTCCCCAGTTTCTCCTTTCCTCTGCGCTGGACCATTGTTGTCTTTCACAGAAGAATGAAAGAACCTAATCCAATAATTCACAGCAAATTATCACCTGGAGAGAAAATAACTCCATTATATTATTTTGGTGCTATTTGCTATTTACTGTCATAGACAATTTTGCCTTTGGGATAACTCAAGATTTTATAATCAACTAGAGGCCCAGTGCACGGATTCGTGTACTGATGGGGTCTCTCAGCCTCGCCTGCAGGGATTGGGCCAAAACCAGGTCTCTGACATCCCCCAAGGAGTCCGGATTGTAAGAGGATGGTTCTCAGGTGACACACCCCAGAATCAACCTTCCTTCTCTCTGGTTCTGGGTGCATCACCTGAGAACCACAGTTGCCAAATCACCACAGCTTGGCAGCTCCTGCATTGAGCATCTGTTCCCCGGTGGTCAGTGAGCATCATAGCTACCGGTCAGGCAGTCAAACAGTTGGATGGTTGTTTAGGCTTTTATATAGATAGATAGTAAAAGAGATCCTGAAGGCAGTGCCTAACCCAAAGAGGACAAAATCTTAGAGAAGAATTTCAGCTGGTGTGGCAGACAATTGGGGAAATACTTGTGGGCAGGGAGAGTATGCTCCTATTCCTAGGGACTGTCCAATGGCGATTATCTATTCACCACATTTTTTACAAAAATGATCTTTTCCCATGGTTACATCAAAATTATTTTGAGGTGTTATCTTCATTGTTGAAAAGAACCTCCCATCTTCTTTTCCTCTTTCAGCCCACTTCTAACACCTAAACCCTGTGCTTGATTATAAAATCTTAAGAGAATCCAAAGGCAAACGTAAACAAAGTACGTACTTGTGTAGGTATGACTTCATGGGTATTTAAAGGCATAAAATTGACTCCTTCCCCAATTTGGTCTTTCCTGAGAGTTGAAGTTAGCAAATTTCCATGCAGTATACTTTCTAAGTTTGATGAGAACAGACTTCCCTTCACAAAGGATAAGGCTTTCCTTGCATCTGGTTTAAGATGGCTTTCTTTTAAATAAATAACTTTTGCTTGCTAATTTATTATGCTTTCCTCTCATTTTCCCTTCTCCCACTTACATTTCTCAGGACAAATGTTGCCTTTCACTTCACTGCCAGCCCCTCTCAACCTCAGGTAAGTGAAGGGTGTCAAGGTTATGATTCTATTAGTGTTACCCATAGTGTTACTATGGTAATAGGTGGAGTCAGCAAGTGGTATTCTCCTTCATATTTCACAGCTTAAGATGTATTTGTATTTTTGGAATGTTATCCATGTCACTAGAACTTTGGACACAACATTTAATCTTATCACTTGAATTTATGTGAAATGGGAGGCATGATATTTGTAGATATTCCTTGGCTCAATTTTCATTTAGCAGGTCTACTATGTGCCTACTATGTACCAAGCAGTGTTAAACTGTACTTGGTGGTGGGAAGAGCAGGATGAAAAAGGGAAAGATGCAACTTCTGCCCTCATGGACCTTTTATAATCAGGATGGGGGTGAGGGACAGAGAAGTAGAAGGCCAACACTAAATAGATACACAAATGCTTAATTCACCTGGAGATACAATAAAATAAAACAGATTTTAATTTCTACAGTGTTGTGGATGAATAAATTAGTTTCTCCTACGCAAAGAGAGAACAGGGATGCTGAAAAAATTATAATAAAATTAGATATTTGTGTTGTGCTCTCCATTAAACTATAATTATATATAGAATAAATACATGAAAATTTTCATTATTTAAACTGCTTTTCTGGTGACACTTCTGGCTACCTTTTTTTTTTTCTTTCATGGATTCTGAAGAAGTAAAGTTTAGGCAATAGTTTAAAACAGATTGAATGTGCTGATATTTATTGTAAATCTTCTGCAGGCTGTAATACAGTTTTCGTCACAAATGGCTACTTAATTTTTGTCTTGTATATACTAAAACTAGGATTAACACAGTAAATGGACTCTATTATAAATCTGTTACAACCACTGTGTGATGATAAATATTTAGCAACTAATTTTTAGAGGGAGGAAAAAAACCCTGATTTGTAAAATTTGCCCATTTCTGTGGCATAAATACCTTCATCATGATCAACTTCAAGATGCCAAGGTGATGTCATTGAACACAGAGTTGGGGAGAGATGTGTACAATCAGCTCCACAAATCCGTATGAGCTGACTCCCACACATTTCTTGACAAATTTCTCAGCCTCCACAGTGCCTACCTACTGCCACCCAGTGATGGAAGAGGACTACAGGCTCGCAAACCACTGCCCTCAACATTTATTGGCTAATTAATTCATGAAATATTTGAAAGCACTAGATAATAGGTGCTATGGGAGATAGCTAGAAAGGGAGGAAAAACCTTGCAGAATGAGTATAGTCTAATAGTCCTGTTCAGAGTTATAGTAAATATGATACAGTGAATGCTGTAATGCACTTTCAGTTTGTGGACTGAAAATCAGTGATGATTATATATTACGGCTTCGTTTTCTTTTAAAAGGGTGTGTAAATACTAAAGCCTAAGTAGTTTGTCTATAAACCCCAAACTAGAATAAAATGTACTTAGAACAAACTGATAAAACAAAAGAGAAACTCTTCAAGATCTATAAAAGATTCATTTGTTATTAATTGTTCCCATTTTGGCCTGAATTTTACATCCTCTCCCACTGTAGAAAAGATTTTCCATTCCTATAAACTCACCCAAACTATTGCGCATTCTCAGATAACCTTCATCATCACTGTCTGCCTCTATTCTTGTAGACAGACGCACATTACAGAAACTGGGCAGGTAATCAGGCTCCAAGAGTATGATTTTTGGCCTAAATTCCAGTCATGGCTTTGGGTACTTGTTATTTGCTTATTTCTGATAAAAAGTAGATTATCACCCTAACTGGTTTGGACAGAGCATTGGCCTGAGGACTGAAGGGTCCCAGGTTTGATTCCAGTAATGGGCACATGCCAGGGTTGTGGCCCCCAGTAGGGGCCGTGCAGGAAGCAGCCAATCAATGATTCTCTCTCATCATTGATGTTTCTATCTCTCTCTCCCTCCCCCTTCCTCTTTGAAATCAATAAAAATATATATATTTTTAAAAGTAGGTTATCAAGGCAAGGGTCAAAAATGTAATATTAAGGTTTCTGTAGTTGTCTACTGCTTGCACAAAACCAACCCTATAATATGCATGTACACTGAGTGGCCAGATTATTATGACCATCCCATCAGTACTTCATTGACACTTGTAAAAATACTGAATATTGAAAACTTGCTAAGCAAATACTCTCAAGGTTTTATTATTATTATTATTATTTGCATAACTAATTCACTTCATTGTACTGATGGGGTGGTGATAATAATCTGGCCACTCAGTGTATATGTTGCTCATTATTGCTAAAAGTAATCGTAATGATGCTCTTGAGTTACAAAGGTTGGTTTCCCTAAGAACCAAGAACACCTCTTGGTAATTCTAGAGGATTCACCTTTGGAAGAGCCCTGTATTATATGAATTTGAATCAAGCTCCAAAATGAAAATGCAAAATTAGGTGAGTTCTTAGGAGTATTGCCATCTATTACAAGGTGTGAACAGATTTCCAAATAGCAGTGTTAATGACAGTCCTTAATCTTGAGAAGGCCTTGGATTATTGAAAAACATTCTATTCTTATTGCTCTGGTTTTCAGAATAACGTTAGTAAAGAGGATGTTGCTATGCAAAATTAAGTTTTGACATATTTTGCCTTGCCTTTAAAGTGATAGATTTATTAGAGTCCTAAAATATGGGCTTGTTTTGGTTGGCCCCCTCAAAACCTTAAGCACGTATTTTATGTCAATTTTCTCAACCAGTTACCATATTTATAATTATTGGGCAGAAGTCCCCTTTCTTCATTATTAGTAACATCTTTAAAAGTTAGAGTTAATAATTTTTTTCAGGGGATTTATAATCTAATTAGGTAAACAGTATTACCTCTTTCTATTATGTTTCCTGATTCTGATGATATGTCAGAATCTAAATACTTTTATTTTTTTTTTCTGATAAAACTTTATTTATAAATAGAGGCTGCCAATTGGTCAGCTGTAGTTTGCTGACTCCTCTATGAGATGGAAAAAGCTGGTAACTCCTAAAGTGCCCATCATTATGTGATTTGTTAAATAAACGATGGCACACCGAGAATCTAAATACTTTTAGAGACATCTTAGCCTGCTCCAAATGGAGGACATATATTTCAGGGGCTGGATGTAAAGTTTTGTCTTTGAATCTAAATGTCCTCCCACTTTATTCCAGACAGAGAAATGAATTATTTAGCAAAAAAACTAGGAGAAGGGTGGATTTATTGCTAATTCTTGCTGATAGAAAGCTGGTTAAGATTCTTGAAAAACAGGCTTACCTGCTTTACAAGATGGAGCCTCATATTTCAAAATGAACATATGGAAGTAAATATTGCCTCATATTACATCTCACATATCCCTAATTCAAAGGTTGAGAGATCTTCTTTAAAAAAAAAAAAAAGTTTTATTGCTTTGAGAGGAAGGGAGGGGGATAGAGAGATAGCAACATCTGTGAGAAACATTGATCGGCTGCCTCCTGCACACCTTCTACTGGGGATCGAGCCACAACCCAGGCATGTGCCCTAACTGGCAATATTGTATGAAATGCCTACTTTTTTTTACTCACTGATATAGTCCTAATCTCTGGCACAGAGTCCCGAAGAGAAAAGTTGCTCAATACTTGTGAGATGAATGGCTGACTGAATTCATAGAGGTTTACTGAGATGTGCATCTAAACTTTGTGCTTAATATTAGAGAAAATGATCCTACTCTTATGAAAATAGTTTGAGTTCATGACTGTAAACATTTCTTAAGGTTAACAAATATTTTTCTTATTCTCAGTATTTTCTATACAAATTTCCTGAAGATGTGGACTCAGTTATCATTAAAGTTGTATCTAAAGTGGCTTATCCATGTTCTGTTGTCTCCGTCCAGAATATCATGGTGAGTCTTAATAACTTGTCAACTTCCAGTGTGGAGCATTATATTGTCTCAGGATAAATGAGAGAGAAGGGTGGAGGATATGTCTGTGTATCTCCTGCAAAACTGCTAAATACTAAGAACAGTATCTCGGGCAGTCAATGTATGCAGACATTGGTTTGGAGCAACAGAAAATAGTTGACTCCTCACCAAAATAAACAAAGGGAAAAAAGGAGACAGGGAAGGAGGGATGATCATGACAAAGTACAAGGAAGACGAAGTTGTGGACTACAGGAGAAAAAATAGAAGCCTACCACTTGTTCTAAGTTTTTAAAATGACAAAAACTGTATGATTTCACTCACATGTGGAATAGAAAACAAAAAAGTAACAAACAACTAATAAAACAAAAACAAATTCATAGGTACAGACAATGGAATGGGAAGCGGGTAGGGAAAAGAGTGAATTGGGTAAAGGGGGTCAAACATATGCTAAGGAAAGAACTAGACTTTTGATGGTGAGCATGCAATAGAGTATACAATAGAGTTTATAATGTTGTACACCTAAGATTTATACAATGTTATTAACCACTGTTACCTCAATAAATATAATTTAAAAATTTTTATTGTAACATTAGGCCCTTTCTATCAGGTGTTAATTTAAAAAGTGAAAAGGTATTAGAAACCTTAGGACAACTTTTCAGTTCTCTTCCATATAAAGAGACCTAGACTTCAGAGGACAAGCACCAAGTTTTAGGGAACTGTCTCATGACTGTTCTGGGGGAAAACTTTTATGGTTTATGGCTCAGTAAGGAACTCCACTCTGTGTGCGTAGTATGTGAAGCATAACATGATATGATGTTAGTGATGATTTCCTTTTCACCCCTCATGTACATTACAGTGCCCAGTGTATGATCTTGACCACAATGTGGAATTTAATGGTGTCTATCAGTCCATGACCAAGAAAGCTGCCATCACACTACAGGTGAGACGTCACTTCTGTGGTCACCATTATTGATGACAGTGTGTCAGTTTACCTACTGGAGCAGCATTCAAAGGGAATGCCATTCACTGTGTGCCTTGGATCTCTTCCATTTCCAATTGGTTTGAAAAAAAAGACTGAGCCCGGCCGGCATGGCTCAGTGGTTGAACATTGACCTATGAACCAGGAGTCACGGTTTGATTCCAGGTCAGGGCACATTCCCAGGTTGCGGGCTTGATCCCCAGGGTGGGGTGTTCAGGAGGCAACCAATCAATGATTCTCTCTCATCATTGATGTTTCTCTCTCTCTTTCTCTCTCTCTCTCTCTCCCCCCCCCCCTTCCTCTCTGATGTTGATGGTTGACCTGGATCAACCCATGATTTTGTGCGTTTGGGATTCTCAAAACAAATACACTTTCCTCTCTGAAATCAATAAAAATATATTTTAAAAAGAAAGGAAGAAAGATTGACATGCAAGAAATCAAAGCTTGGGTGATCCCGGACAATGCTACTGCCAGATGCCCCATGCCCCCTAGGGAATCTTGGGAACCCATAATGCAATGGGACATATATATCTGACAGGCTGCCTAGAAAGGTAAAGGCAGAATATTTCAATCTACTCAATGGGTGATGCAAATTTAGGGTAAGGTTATCTCATCCATTGAGAGCAATTAAATGTAGAAGAAGAATTTGTATCAATAATAGTAAGAAAAAGAGGACTTAAAAAAAAAGAGGACTTCAGCTGGGCAGAATGGGCAGCCTTAAGGAATATGGGGTGATAGAGGGATAAAGGAAGATAAATATTTGGTGACAGAAGATGATGTGACTTTGGGTGGTAGACACACAATGCAATATACAGATCATGTATCATAGAAATGTACACTTAAAACCTATGTGGTTCTATTAACCAATGTCAACCCAAGAAATTTAATATTAAAAACATTTAAAGGAATATGGACCATATTTGTGCAGCAGTTTGCCTTTTTGACATTTGTAATTAAATTTTTATTTCAATGGTAATTGTATGTTTGGCAATAAATTGTTACTTCTCTTTTGGCCCATGATTCTGTCTTTAGCCATTTTCTCAGAGATACCAGAAATTTTGGGATGTTAAGAGAAAACAGAGTTGTAGAGATAGAATGGACCTTAAAAAATCATCTTCCCAACCATGCTCCATTCATGGATAAGGAAACTGGTACACAAAGAAGCGAACTTAGAGAAAGTCAAAGCCAGGACTAACGCGAGTCTCCTGGCTTATCTTTGCCTCCCTAAACTAAACTATTTATTTAACTGCTGACCATATGACTTTTAGGAAAGTCATTTATCATTAGACTCGTGGCCCGGTACATGACATTTGTGCACTGGGTGGAGGTGTGGGGGGCACTGTCTCTCAGCCCGGCCTGCACCCTCTCGGGAGATGTCTGCCTGCCGACTTAGGCCTGATGCCCCCAGGGATGGGGCCTAAGCCAGCAGTCTGACATCCTCTCTCAGTCCAAGGCTCTCGCAGTCCAGGACCCCTCGCTCCTTACCACCCACCTGCAGTGGAGGCAGGAGAGGCTCCTGCCACCCCCACTGCGCTAGCCAGCCGTGAGCCTGGCTTCTGGCTGAGCGGCACTCCCCCTGTGGAAGCACACTGACCACCAGAGGGTAGCTCCTGCGTTAAGCGTCTGCCCCCTGGTGGTCAGTGCGCACCATAGCGACTGGTCATTCCACCATTCAGTCAATTTTCATATTACACTTTTATTATATAGGATTTTAAAATAATAAAAATCTAATATAGTTAATTTTAAAATAAAGCTCATTAATTTTTAAAAAATATTTAAGTATGATTATTAAACATAGGCTATTGGCATTACTTATACGGTGCCTATCTTTCTTATCATAAGAACATATCATAAGATTGTTATGTCTTATGCAGAAGAAGGATTTTCCAGGTGAGCAGTTCTTCGTGGTGTTTGTGATAAAGCCTGAAGATTATGCTTGCGGAGGATCTTTCTTCATCCAGGGTAAGAAAGAGTGATGAGTATACTTGGCTACTTGTAAAAACCTGACCCAGGGGAATGGAAGGGAAGTCAAAAGCTCACTTTGGCCCTATTTGACCATTTCTAGTTCCCAGTAAGTGAGGGCCATCAGCCATGACTTGAGAAGGCAGCTGAGAGATACTTGAGAATAAAATAAAGGTAAGAAAATGATAAATCTAAAAGTATTAGTGATACTACAAAAGGTCACTTGTGTATTTCAAGATCTTATGCTCTCTCAGACCACATGAAGTTGGCTCTTCACTCAGCAAATATTTGCTGCTAGAAAGTATTGATTTGTATACAGCAGACCAAGGTCCATTTTCTAAGATCGGTTTGGTAGCCAAGAGTAGTGGAGCCACTTGTATTATTCAGTAGTGATCATTTCCATAAGGATGTGCAAGGAAAATTGAGTTCTCAATTTTGGTTGCAAAAATTATACCTTGCAAGATAGCAAAGTGGGACAATGACAATGACAGAGGTTGTGTGAGCTCTGAGGCATAATGCAAATGGTTATCCAGTTACTGAGGAACTACTTTGGGAATAGAATAGGTTGTTGGAAAACACAGGTCCCCAGCAGCTGATGTGATATGTGATCAACACAGAGAGATGTTTATTGTTGAGTGTAACATGGTTCCCTTGGTATTGAGGTGAAATTTCTGTTCCTGTATTCTTTAATCTCTTAATTACATCGCTTTATAGAGTTCTGCTAATGTCCAATGTTCTTTGTTAAACTACATACTCTTTGGTGACTATTTAAGAAAAAACAAGTTCTCACTGGCTAGAAAATACAAGCCAAAATACACCGTGACTTCCTATTTTCGTAGCTGTTTTCTTCATATGTCTGTGGCATGTTGAGCCATGTGGGTATCAAATAAAGGGTCAAGCCTTCTTCATTGAGCAGGGCGGCTGAAGTCTCATTTGCCTCAATTAGTGCTATCAACTGCATCCAATTTGAACGTTTAACCAGAAGGTATATTAGATGATGTGAAGGTTTGGGAGTTAGGTTTTCCTCTAGTTCAGTGGTTCTCAACCTTGGCTGCACATTAGAATCACCTGGGAATCTTTTTAAAATCCTGATTTCTGGGCCTCATCCTCCGGAAATTCTGTTTCTTTGTTATGGGGTGGGGCCACAACATTAGTAATAAAGAAACAGAATTTCCAGAGGATGAGGCCCAGAAATCAGGATTTTAAAAAGATTCCCAGGTGATTCTAATGTGCAGCCAAGATTGAGAACCACTGCTCTAGTTCTTGCTAAAAGGAAATTCAGCAACCAGAGTTAATTTTGGACCATTTTTGAACAACTGTTCAGATTCGAGGTGAAGAGCCTAATATCTGATCCATTTTTCCTTGTTCTTTTTTTTTTTTTTACCAGAAAAGCAGAACCAGACCTGGAATCTACAACGAACAAAGAACCTTAAAGTGACCATTGTTCCTTCCATTAAAGGTCAGAATTGGCTCTAGGGTTCAGTGGACAGATTCCTATGTCAGGCAGTCGATCATATAATGCAATGCTAACGTCAACCTTCCAGAGAAACATTATAAGAAAACTAACGTTTACCTTAGAGATAGAAGAGAGAATCAGAGCATTTTGTTAAATCCCTTCTAAAAGGAAAGGGAACCCAGTATGAAGCTGTACACAGGCCGCCGTTTGTGGAGAATGTCTGGGTGACCTTCAGTCGCTTTGCTGCTTTAACTGGAGGCATCTCAGGACTTAAGCATGAGTGTGACAGGCCTTTGAATCTGTCTGTCCCACGCATGGCCTCCTCTTTCCTCCTGACTAAAGCTGTTTCTCTTTCCTCAGAATCCGTTTTTGTGAAATCCATTCTTCTCAGCTTCCTCATCTTCTTCTCCTTCTATTTGGGATGCCTGCTGATTGCATTCGTTCATTATATCCGGTAGGTCAAGAGTTTCAAGAAATGTTAATCCCGTTGCCAGTCTCTGCTTAGTAATTGGAGCATTAGGCGTTAGAACCATATTGACTCAGCCCCTAATTGTGTGACCTTGGGCAAGTTACTTAACTTTTCTGTATTTCAGTTTCCTCATCTGTAAAATGAGATAATAATTTACTTCATAGAATAATAAAACTGCAGGTTTACATCAATGTTCTGAATGGAATAAGTGCTGGTAAAATGTTAGTTATTTTAGCAGGAGTAATTTTAGCAGGAATTAGTTATTAATAGCAGGAGTAATATACTTTGATACTACATTCTTACTGTTGTAGCATCAATTTTCCAGTAAAATGTCCCTTAAGAGAGAGAAAAAAGGGAGATAATTAGGCTATAACCTGACCAAGGAAATGCCCTTTCTGAGAGTTTGGAGCTCCCAGTAAAATGAGCTTGTCTCTCCTTGCCTCCTCAGCAGGCCTGAACCTTGAGAATTCCATAGTTGCGGTCTCTGTGAAACAACTACGAAAGCATGGCAGGAGGTTTATATTAAACAAATGTTCTCTCTCCTCTCGAATGTGTAAAGAAAACAAAGCCAGCATAGAGTTTTCAGATTATTGGGCAAGTTCCCATCTGTAAAAAAACCTCATGGCTCAGACAGTGATACAATCATCTCAGTGATGCAGGCCTATCTCTGACTCAAAAATACTGCTTTTTGTGACCTTTATGAAGGTTTTCAGTTAATAAACTGACGTCAAAAACCCTGGGATTATCACTGGTCATATCTGGAACCATCTCAGCACCAAAACAATTAAGGAGAATAATTAATTATAAATCATTGCAAAAAATAGAAATTCATGAATCCATAATTGATAAAGAAAGGAAGGGAGGAAGGAACAACCTAGATACCTGCAGATATATATCCAATAAAGTCAACATAGTTACTAAAACTGGTACACATTAGGGAAAGGAGTTATTAACAAATACTGACAGTGTTAAGGAGGACACTTGCTTACAGCACAACATCAAAAGCTGACATAAATATGGAGAAAGTGCTGGAATTAGAAAATCATTGTTTTGCATAGATCAGGTTAAGAATCATCAATGGGTACTAAAACTAGGAGAAAAATCTGATGAGGATCAAGATATTTTCATGGTCTTTAAGTGTATTCCCACAAACTGCTTAGTAGTTGTAAGGGGGGAAATAGTAACCACAGAGTGAAGAAATCAGACAATAATTGACTGGGTGATCAAAAGTATTATGACTGAGGAAAAGATAAACATCATGTGCCCCAGATGTGACACTCTGAGAAGGACACAACATCACTTATATAGTGTTCCAGCCAGAGATGCATATTTTGAATATAACCATAAGGAAAAATTAAACTAAAAATGACAGTCATTTTTATTAAAATTTGTCATAAAAGACAAAGAAAGGCAATGAAAATGTTCCAGGTTGAAGAAAATTAAGGAGATATGACAACTAAAGACAATACCTGATCTCAGACTGGATCTATTACTAGAAGAAAAATAAGCTATAAAGGACATTATTAGGTCAACTGATAAAATTTTAATACAGACAGTAGATTAGATAAGAGTCTAATATTAAATTTGCTGAATTTGACAACTATACTGTGGTTATATAAGAGAATATCTTTATTCTATTTAAGCCTAAAAGTTCATGATATGTAATTTACTTTCAAATGGTTCTGAAAAAATGAGTGTGTGTGTATATATATATATCAATTTGTATATATAGACAGAAAGAGACAACTGATAAAGCAAATGGAGTAATATACTAACAGTAAGTGAATCTAGGTAAATGGTATGTGACTGTTATATTATTATAAGAAGGTCTCCATAAATTTGAAGTTATTTTCAAATAAAAAGTTAAAAGCGAAGATTCCAGTCTACAGGCAAATATTATACCTAAAAGTACATACATTAATTATCAGCTCAATTAATTTATCAGATTACAATCATTAACATTTAACAAGTACCTGCTCTGTGCCAAACTCTCTAAGCAGATGATCTTATCTAATGATCCACAGCAATGGGTACTAGTATTATCACCATTTGATCGTGAAGGAAATTGAGGCATAGAGAGATGAAGCAATTTGACCAAGAATTCACAGCCAGTAAATGTTTGAAACCAGACAGCCGGACTCTAGAGCCTTAGCTCTTAAGCAGCCTGGTCAAAATGGGTCTAGAGTGGTCAGGGCATGTGAGGGAGGGCAGCCCCAGAATGGATTCACTTGGGAAAAAGGTCCAAAAGGCTTCTAGTTTTGACTCAGATGAGCTTCAATGTCATGGAATAAGAGGTTCGGCTCTTCTGCTTCTCTTAGGAAGACTGTCTCTACTCTTGATGTTTTAGATTTGAGGAGATGGGATTTCACCTCTTTAGTTAGTTAACATTCATAGTCAACACACTGACAAAAAATTAAGTTAATAGCTGGATATCAATCTCTCTACAGTTGTTATTCAACCTACTGAAGTGAGCACAGTTTTTCAAAGTTGTGCTATAAGGCTCTGTCGAAACCTCGAGCTGCCAGATTACTTTGCTACAGTCAATGCATGAGCAGAGATTCTTTCCAAATATAGACAAACTGAAAATAGAAATCTGAAGACATAAGAACTAGTTGGCATTCTAAATAGGGGAATAGCCTGAGGGAAAATGCTAATACAACTCTTCCATCATTGAACTAAGCAGAAATAACAACGTTTTCCACAAAACCAAATTAAACTAGTTCTGGAGCATAAAGCCATTTGCTCAGTGAGTCCCCTGATCCCGCCCTTCCCCCCCCCCCCCCCCCATTATTAATACATGTGGGGTTTTCAGTACCTGCTATGAGATTAGGATGGAAACACTGGTTAGAGATATGTCCCCGCCCTCAAAGTGTTTTTATGTTATATTCTCTTGAACACATGACTAAACACCATTTTCCTCCCTTTCTCCAGACCCAATCTATTCAGTATTTTTGGAGCCCCCACAATGAATGTGCAGGTCCTGGCCGAAGCACTGCATACCTATTCTCTTGTTTGTTCCTCTCAACCACCCTGCCAGACATTGAGTTCAAACTGCTCAATTCTGGGTGCTCGTCCTTCTCTGGATACTTGTACTAGTTATCTATTGCCACAATAATGCTGCGTAAAAATCAACCATAAAAACTTCAGTGGCATACACCAATAAATACTTAAGTTTACTCAAAATCTGTGGGTCAGCTGGACTGGGCTGGGATCTCAGCTGGATGTGGTCATAGAAGGCAACCAGCTGGCAGGCCGTCTAGGAGCTGGCTCTTCTGGACTGCCCTCAGCAGTGCTGTGCCTCCCACGCTCCCACAGACTAGCCCTGGCTTATTGTATCTCCAGGAGAGATAACAGAAGAGTGTAAGGCCTCCTTAAGACGAGGCTGAGAAATGGTATTACTTCCCCCTCATTCTGTGAGTCAAAACAAGTCATGAGGCCAGTCCAGATTTAAGACGTGAAGATATAGACTCCACTTTTGATTGAAGGAGCTGGATACAAGATGAGGTGTAGCCATTTTCAATGTCTAGCATAGTTCTCATTTGCCATTTTTGCCTTTTCTCACTGGATACTGCATGCCTCACTTGGGCTTTGTAAATCATTGAACTCCTCTAATGAAAAATTTTATCAGCTCTGAAACCTAGGGCAAGTGTGGGTAAAGCCTATTAATACAAACACACAATCCAAACACATCATCTTTAATGAGGCCAAATATGTAATTGTTTGCCAGTTAATATCACTGAAATTGTTTTTAAAGGGGACTTCAATAGAGCCTTATTTGCCAGCTAAACAGGCCAAAATTGTAACTGCTCTCCTTAATGATATGCCTTTTTCATTCAACAAGTATTTAGTTATCATTTCCTATGTGGCAGCCTGTCCTAGAGGTGAAAGATACAGTGATGAGCAAGACAAGCTAGAGTCCTGCTCTAATAGAACTTACACGGTACCGGGAAAAACATATAAGCAAGGAAGCAGTTAATAAAACAATTTCCGCTAGAGAGAGAAGAGTAAAGATTCTGGAGTGATAGAGAATGATTGCATCGGGGAAGCTACTTTAGATTTAATTAATTCAGCAAGGAAGACCTCTCAGAACCAAGACTGAATAGCAGAAAGGAGCCAGCGATGGGAGGATCTGGGGAGAGAGTGGCCCAGGCAGAGAACAAGAGCAAAAGCCCTGAGGCAGGGATGAATTTGCTGTATCTAGAGAAAAAGGAGATATGAAGAGAAGTTCCTCCACCAAATCACCAGGATCAGGAGAGTGCCACTTCTGGAGTCCCCGTCTGGAAGAAAACAAGAGCAGATGGCAAAGTGCAGGTGCATCTAGCCCCAACTTTCCTCCTCCTCCACTCCCGCCTCATATTCAAAAGGGAGGCTCACTTTGAGGAAGAGGGTAATTCACATTTAAATTTTTGGTAGACATTCTCAAATGGTATACATAGGTTTTATATAATAGCTATTGAGATATAATTCACAGAACATAAAGTTCACCCTTTTACAGTATACAATTCAGTGGTTTTTAGTGTATTCACAGTTGCACAACCACCACCACTATCTAATTTTCATCACCTCCAAAAAGAAGCCCTGCATTGACTGATATTACAAGATACAAGTTCAGTGTACAGAAATCAATTGGATTTCTATACGCTAGCAATTTACAATTTAAACATGAAATTAAGAAAACAATTCCATTTACAATAGCATTGAAATAATAAAATACTTAATAACACATTTAACTAATTAAAACTATAAAACATCCTTGAAGAAATTAAAGAGGACTTAAATAAATGGAAAGATGTCCCATATTCATGGGTTGAAAGACTTAATATTGTTAAAATGGGATAGTAGGTAGAATAATGGCCCCCAAAAGATGTCCACATGCCAATATACAGAACCTGTGAATACGGTACTTTACAGGACAAAAGACATTTTGCAGATGTGATAACGTTATGAAGATTATCCCAGATTATCCATATGGGTATAATGTAATAACAAGGGCCCTTATATAAAAGGGAGACAAGCCCTAACCGGTTTGGCTCAGTGGATAGAGCCTGCTGACTGAAGGGTCCCAGGTTCGATTCCGGTCAAGGACATGTACCTTGGTTGTGAGCACATCCCCAGTAGGAGGTGTGTAGGAGGCAGCTGATCGATGTTTCTCTCTCATCAATGTTTCTAACTCTCTATCCCTCTCCCTTCCTCTCTGTAAAAAATCAATAAAATATATTTTTAAAAAATAATAAATAAATAAAAGGGAGACAAGAGAGTCAAAGGCAGAAGGAGGAGATGTGATGATGGAAGCAGGGGTTGGAGTCATACACTCTAAAGACAAAGGAAGGGGCCATGAGTCAAAAAGTTGAAACAACTCTCCAAAAATTCATCTGGAATAAAAAAAGACCCCGAATAGCTGCAGCAATCCTGAGAAAGAACAAAGTAGGTGGGATCTCAATACCAGATATCAAGCTGTATTACAAAGCCACTGTTCTCAAAACTGCCTGGTACTGGCACAAGAACAGACATATAGATCAATGGAATAGAATAGAGAGCCCAGAAATCGGCCCGAACCAATATGCTCAATTAATATTTGACAAAGGAGGCAAGAACATACAATGGAGCCAAGATAGTCTCTTCAATAAATGGTGTTGGGAAAATTGGACAGATATATGCAAGAAAATGAAACTAGACCACCAACTTACACCATACACAAAAATAAACTCAAAATGGATAAAGGACTTAAATGTACAACGGGAAACCATAAAAATTCTAGAAGAATCCAAAGGCAACAAAATCTCAGACATATGCCAAAGCAATTTCTTCACTGATACAGCTCCTAGGGCACTTGAAACTAAAGAGAAAATGAACAAATGGGACTACATCAAAATAAAAAGCTTCTGCGCAGCAAAAGAAACCATCAACAAAACAACAAGAAAACCCACTGCGTGGGAAAACATATTTGCAGATGTCTCACTTGCAGCCACATGAGACATCTGATAAGGGCCTAATCTCCAAAATTTATAGGGAACTCATACAACTTAACAAAAGGAAGATAAACAATCCAATCAAAAAATGGGCAAAGGATCTAAATAGACACCTTTCAAAAGAGGACATTCAGAAAGCCAAGAGACATATGAAAACATGCTCAAAGTCACTAATCATCCGAGAGATGCAAATCAAAACAACAATGAGGTACCATCTCACACCTGTCAGACTGGCTATCATCAACAAATCAACAAACGACAAGTGCTGGAGAGGATGTGGAGAAAAAGGAACACTCGTGCACTGCTGGTGGGAATGCAGACTGGTGCAGCCACTATGGAAGACAGTATGGAGTTTCCTCAAAAAACTAAAAATGGAACTCCCATTTGACCCTGTGATCCCACTTCTAGGAATATATCCCAAGAAACCAGAAACACCAATCAGAAAGGATATATGCACCCATATGTTCATAGCAGCACAATTCACCATAGCTAAGATCTGGAAACAGCCTAAGTGCCCATCAGTAGATGAATGGATTAGAAAACTGTGGTACATCTACACCATGGAATACTATGCTGCTGTAAAAAAGAAGGAACTCTTACCATTTGCAAAGGCATGGATGGAACTGGAGAGCATTATGCTAAGTGAAATAAGCCAGTCAATGAAGGAAAAATACCACATGATCTCACTCATTCATGGATAATAGAGACCATTATAAACTTTTGAACAATAATAGATACAGAGGCAGAGCTGCCTCAAACAGATTGTCAAACTGTAGCGGGAAGGACGGGGAGGGTTGGGGGGCAGGAGGGAGGGGGGTAAGAGATCAACCGAAGGACTTGTATGCATGCATATAAGCATAACCAATGGACATAAGACACTGGGGGGTAGGGGAGGCCAGGGGATTGTCAAGAGCGGGGGGAAAAAAAGGGCACATATGTAATACCCTTTGTAATACTTTAAGCAATTAAAAAAAAAAGTTGAAACAACCAAAATGTCCACCAAGTATAAACCAAGAAATGTGATATATCCATGCAATGGATTATTAACCATAAAATGACTGAAGTATTGATTCATATGTCATATAGATGAACCTTGAAAACATTAAGTGAAAAAAGCCAGTCAAGAAAGACTACATATAGTATATTTCATTTATAAGAAATGTCCAGAATAGGCAGATTTATAGAGACAGACAATAGATTAATGGTTGCCAGGAGCTGGGAGGAAGGGGAATAGGGAGTGACTGCTAATAGATTTGAGATTTCTTCGGGGGATGATGAAAATGTTCTCGAATTAGGTAATAGTGATAGTTGCACAACTTTGTGAACATACTAAAACTCATTGAATTGTGTATATTAAAGGGTGTATGGATTTTATGGTATGTTAGTTATCTGAAAATAAGCGAATCTGAAAATAAATTAATGAATGTGTGTGTGTGTGCGTGTGCGTGTGTGTGTGTGCACGCGTGTGCTCCCACGCACCTCTAGGGATAGAACTGCTGGATTATATAGTAACTCTATGTTTAGCTTTTTGAGGAACTGCCAAACGTTTCCTAAGTGGCTACACCATTTTACAATCCTACTAGCAATGTATCAGAGTCCCAAGTTCTCCACATCCAAAGGCCCATTTTTAAGAGATTCTGGCAGACAAATGTGCAATAAAGTCTATAGAGGACGCAGGTAAAATGCTGAGGTTTTCGCTGCCTTAGGAGCATGTGCATGTGCTTTTTTTTGCAGGTTTCAGAGAAAATCCATTGATGGAAGCTTTGGTTCCAATGATGGTAAGAAAAATCCCTGGTTTCAAATCAAATTGATGTTATGTGTATGGTAACACTCCCATTTGGTACTTCTTTTGTCTCTATGTCCTTTGTAATTTCCAATCCCTCCCTTGGTTCCTAACCCACAAAATAGTCTAATCTGCAGCCTTTCTACAAAAAATGGAGCTCAGTGAGAACCAATAATTACTGAGATATGGAACTCATACTGAAAACTTTTGCTTGGAGCGTCCCTTGTAATTATCCACAAGTCCATTTGTCAGCCATTCATCCTTTTTAAAAGTAAAATCTTTTTGAGGATATAAATTGTTTATACCTATCCCCGAGTTGATTTATGAAAGATATTAAAAATGTATTGTTAACTCTAATTCAGAGTTTAATTTTCCCAAATTGAGATAGAGGTGTTTGGTTTCTTTTGTTCAAGTAACTAGAAAACTGAAATATTTGAGTCTAGCAAATATCATAAGAATAATAACTCTGAGAAATCCAAAGTAATTGATTATCCAACCATTGTAATATGCCCTTTCCTCTACTCCGAGAATTTGAACAAAGGAATTCAATTGCCTGATACTTTTTATCAAAACTTTTAAAAAATTAAATGTCTTCATTTTTTAAATTGAGATATATGACACTGTATAAGTTTCAGGTATACAACAAAAATACAATATTTGTATGTTGTGTAAAAGGATCACCACAATGAGTTCAGTTAGCACTCATTACCACACATGCACATTTTTTTTCTTGTGATGAGAACTTTAAAGATCTACTCTCTCAGAAACTTTCAAATGTACGATACAGGATTATTAACTATAGTCACCATGCTGTACGTTAATGACATCTCAGGACTTACTTATTTTATAACTGGAAGTTTGTACTTTTGTACATGTCCTCATTTTTGAAAAGCCTAAATCAGCATGTGTTTCACAGTACTCATACGCCATTTGGCAGAGAGTGATCATTTGGGAAAGGAAGGATAAGTGAGACTTGATTTTTAAGTCACAAGCAGCAGATGTTTAGTTTGTGTTTTCAACACTTAAATGAACCCACGGAATCTTAGGAAGACACAAATTGAGCCCCTCCCCACACACAACCAGCAGACATTTCCCCCCTGCTGCTTCTTTTGCCTTCCTTTGACTTTTGTCTTCCTTACTGTCAGCATGTCTACTTTTCCAGCCACCCAGGCAATTTTTTTAAATAACATCCAACAGCCAATATAAGAGACTGTGAAAGGACACCTGCTCTACTGTCATTAAAATGCTAAATACTACTTTCCCTTTTATTCATAAAATGTGTAGGTAAATTTGCCTTCTCTCTGGATTTCACCTTTTTCTCGCCAGGGCTCCCCAGGTTTTGCTCTTATTTTATGCCTGGTTGAACTTAGAAAGCCGGATTGGTTGGATCCCATTCGGTGCTCTGTGAATGAATACTCTGTTATTTTTATTGTATGAGTGAAGTCATTTTATTATTATAATGATAGTTAAAGGAACACCATGTTCAGAAGACTCTCCTGAACAGTGAAACATAGGTGAACAGAGCTGGGACTTGGGCCAGATGATTGTCAAAATCAAGAAGGCTCTGAAAATAAGCTAAGAGCTAGAGGTGCCCTTCAGATGGCAGCAGAAATTAATGAGTGACTAAAGGAAAAGAAAAGGGAAGAGGAGGGGAGGGGAGGGGAGGGGAGGGGAGGGAAGGATAAAGGTGCATCAATTAGATTTCATGTGGCTGCAAGTAACAAGAAAATATATCTCAAACATGCCTAAACCATATGAAGCTCCTCTCCCTGGAAATTGAGCAGAAAGTTGGGCTTCAGAACTGACTGAGTCAGGTGGCTCTTGTCCTTTCCCTGCCATTTCCTTGGCTCTCCTTTGCTCTCAGTGGCTGGTGGTAAGATGGATCAGATTTATACCCTCACTTGACAATGTCCAGAGGGAAGGACGTTTTCAGAAGCAACTTATTCTCACTTTACTGGCCTACGGGGAATCGTTCACTTATTGGTAAACCAGTCACTGCAAAGGAACATATTTACCCACAGATCCATTAAGCCTGCTTATAGAATTAGGATGAGATCATCTTTTGCTAAGACCAGAGTTTCTCAAACTCAACATTAATTGACATTACAGGCCAGATAGTTCTTTGTTGTTGGGAGCTGTCCTATGTATTGCAGGAAGTTCAACATTTAACCGCATCCTTCACCTCTACCTACTAGGATGCAGCAGTACACTTCCTCCCTGTGACAACTCAAATGTCTCCAGACATTGCCAAATGTCATCTTGAGGGCAAAACATTTTCTCCATCCCTGGTTGAAAATCACTGACTTTAACACATGGACTGCCAGGCACAGGTGAGGATACCTGAACAAAATCCCAGCTTAGTTAGGAAGTGTGGAATAAGAAAGTTCACCACAAAGGCTTTAAAATAGGGTGGAAATAAAGAATCTTTGTGGCAGAGAGGCTACAGGGAAAGATCAAAGATAATATAACTCATGTCACAGGACCACTAGTGAGAGGAGACTTAGGTGATTTAAACCAAGAGCAGAGCCCTGACCGGTTTGGCTCAGTGGATAGAGCGTCGGCCTGCGGACTGAAGGGTCCCAGGTTCGATTCTGGTCAAGGACATGTACCTTGGTTGCAGGCACATCCCCAGTAGGGAGTGTTCAGGAGGCAGCTGATCGATGCTTCTAAGGCTCTATCCCTCTCCCTTCCTCTCTGTAAAAAATCAATAAAATATATTTAAAAAAAAAAAAAACAGGAGCAGAGAAGACAAGATCTACCTTGGAGAAAAACCAGTTAGTGACTTTTTTAAACATGTCAAACAGAGCATTGATAAGCCAGCCTCAGAGAGGGACCTTATCTGGAAGCTAAACTGAGACATTCAGGGAGGAAGCTTTGGAGAGGACCAGGATTCAGAAATGTCTGTTTCTCCCCAGGGCCAAGATTAGTGTGACTGTGGAGCTCCAGGAAGTTCAGTGGAGCTCAGAGCTCCAGGAAATGCCTTGGGGGCTTGGTGGCAGCACTATTTTAGTTAGGTAACCACAGGAAGGCTGCAGCTGGAGAACCTGCCGACTCCTCTGCATTTGTTATTCTTTGACTTGTCTGCAGTTCTTTAAGTTTTATATGAAATATGTCAACATTGGCTCCAACTATCCTAAAAAGAGAAAGAACTTATTTTATACTTCACTAGAGGCCCAGGGCATGAAAATTCATGCACTGGAGGGGGTGTCCCTCAGCCCAGCCTGCCCCCTTTCACAGTCCGGGAGCCCTCAGGGATGGGAGGCGACCCAGTGATTAGGGGATGGCGATGCCCCCATCACACCTCTGTTGCTGCCACTGCCGGCAGCACAAGCCTTGGCTGGCCCTGGTTACCTGAGCCTTGGGAGACCCTGGGTGGCTGGGCAGCTGCCATCCGAGGCTTGCCTGAGCCTCGGGCCGGCCCTGGATGGCTGAGGTGCTGAGGGGACTGGGGGACTCCGGAGGCAGGTGCACAGCAAGGCCAGGCCTGCCTGGGGGTGGGTCTGGCCTTGCCACACCTGCCACCCCAGCGGGGCTGAGGGGACTGGGCACCGCCATCTTTGAAGGCATATTGGCTGTGGGTACCACCATCTTTGCGATGGCGTGATGGTCAATTGGCATAGTCCCTCTTTATTAGATAGGATTGGATGAAAAAGGAGATGAGACCCTAAAGCCAGATGAAGTGGAAATAGTGCTGGTAAAGAGCTTCTTCCGTCCTTGAAGGGACAATGTATTCTCCATTCATCACTTAGGACTTAAAGCAAGGTTCTCGGGGGTCATCTGAGGAGTACTAGAAAAAGCTCTGTGCTCTAAAAACCTTTCTTCCACTGGCTCTCTCAGCAGAGAAACCCATATTTCTCATCATTTTTAAAGAGTCTGTACAGAAATTCAGACACCAAGTGGGAAGAGAGATGAATGAAGCATACCTCACAGGCCTGTGGGGCACCTGAGCTGTCACCACGGACCTGGGTGTAGCATAAGGCAAGGTCACTTTTTCAAGTGAGGGAGCTTGACAAACCTGTCAGGTTTGTATATTTAAGAACCATATGGCCAATCCAATGAACCCTTCCCTGGGTAGAGCCGTTATTGAGTCAGCCTCTCAGCAAAGAGTAGGGTTCAGAGGAAGTAAGACAAGCAGTGTGTTGAGTCTGGAGACACCAAGGAGCACAGGCCATCACCAGGCTCTGGGGCGATGGGTCTCTAATGCTAGTCCTGACCCTCTACTCTTCTTTTTCCAAATTTCCTTGACTTTTCTTGCTCAGTTTTTCCTTTGAGAGGAATTTTATATCCCTCTACAAAGATTCATGCTTTCCTTCATTTTCTCCTCAGCTTTTGAAACAAAACATGAAATTAGTTGGGGTAGGTAGACAATTGACACAAAAATGGAATTTCATGGCAGCTAGTTCACATCATTTCCGACTCCCTCTTCAGCTTCCCACCTCCTGCGTTCAGAAATGGAAAGAGGCAGGACAGTTATAAATATGAAGTCCCTGAAAGTTCCAAATATGCTCAGAATGAAATGACATTTTCCCCCTTCACACAGAGCATTTAACATAAAGAGCACACATGAAAGCATATATTTTTCTATGTTAGTAAAGTAGACAGATGGCAAGGGGGTTGTGCTCAGAGAAAAACACAACAGAACAAGTTTCCTCAATTAGATTAGCTCATTCACAACCTTATAAGTTTGCTTATTTCCAGCTAGAACATCTTGGTCTGTCCTATGAGCTAATATTTTTGTATTTAATTCTTCTTTCTCAGTACCATACAGATAAGTGTAAAAATGGCTTGCCTTCTAGGACCATTGATCATACTTGAAGTTTGGAAGAAAATGCTTTGGATTTCATGTCTGAAACCCATGTTTTAGACATAAGAAAAATTATCTCATGTTGACCAATCGTATGTTTAAATTATACCTATAAAAGTCCACAGAGTTCAAACTTTTTACGTGCTGGCAATTATATTGCACATGAAAATCTTGATGTTCTAAATCGTCACAGAACCCCTGCTGTTGGCTCAGAATGAGGCAGAGCAGAGTGCAGAAATCAGTGACACGTCCAAGTCTGAACAGACCTACACAGCTGGCTTTTCCTTTTCAATGGAGTTGTCACCTAACAAAACAGTGGTTGTTTTTGCTTTCTCGCTTGCTTTGATTTTAGTTTTTGTTTGCGTTTTTTTTTTTCTCTTTTGATCACACACACACAAAAACCATTGGCTCCCACAAACCATTACAACCTCCTGCCAAAACTGACCTCATCATTTTCCTATGTGCACTTCTTACCTCCTCAGAGGGCTTCTCAGTAACACCAAAATGCCAAAAATTCTGGGTTTTATTATTTTAGTGTCATTCTTCACTTACTATTTGCACATTTATTTTTTAAGTTAAATCTTAAATAAGGAACAGAGGTTAATGGTTAAAAATAGGGGCTTGCACTTGAAAAGAAAAAGATGTGAAAGGGACTGAGGGAAATGTAAATGGAGAAGACTGAATATAGCACTGAGGGATATGATCAATGCAGTGATTTTTGTGAGACTTCCCACAATGAACTAGACAGAAAGAAGGCAGGAGCATGGAATCATTGGCCAGCACAGCAGCCAATGTAAAGAGCAAAGGTTGTGCTTATGGTAGCGGAGATGCACATGAGCCTCAACCTGCTTGTCTCTTTTGAAAGATATTCTGGAGCACTCCACCAAAGCAACTTGCTTACTGACAGTTATTCATATTTTGAAGGAAAACCCTTGTGTTTCTTTCAATTAAGAAAAATTTTAGCTGAGACCAATATAATAAACCAATATCCACCCAATATCAGAGTGACTCTGGGCAAATGACTTGATCTCTCAGCAACTCCCCTTTTGTTGTCTTTAAAATGGTGATAACAATAGCACCCATTTCATTGGGTTGTTGAAAAATTAAAATTCTTGTAAAGAGCTCAAAAGAATGTCTGACGCACAGTAAGCTTTCAATAACCATTGGCCAGTAGTAGTGATCATAGCAGCAGCAGCCACAGCAGCAGTAACAGAAGCATTAGTAATAGTAGGAGTGGTGGTGGTAACAGTGTTAGTACTTGTTATAGTACTAATCATAGTCAATAGTAGCAGCAGCAGAGCTCTGTGCTGTAACTATGGCCAAATCTGTCCTAGGTAAAAAAAAAAAAAAAAAATCAATTTGCAGTCACCATCTTCCCATAACACTGTTGTGTGCTCAAAAGATTTAATCTCTCATTAAGAGTCTGAAAGTAACCTGTTTCTATGCCTGGAAATTGGCTGGAAAGTAGAGATGGTGTTGATACCATGCAATTATGGGTAAGTCCAAGAAAGGCCAGGGAACATCTTTCTTTAAGTAATAAGAAATATATGAAGGGATCTCCAAGCCTAGGAACAGTGCCAGGCAGTTTGCATTCTGAGGGCCCTGGGAACAGCCAGGAATGCTGCCATTAGCTCCATGGTGTTGCTGCCCAGCTGCTGAGCCATCAAAGTGAGGCAAGCAATTGAGTCTCCAAGGCCATCAGATGTCTCTCATCGTCTGGCTAAATATTTTGGACTTGAGGTTTAATTTTTTTTTTCATGGAGGAAATGAATGGACACACAAAGAGTAAAAAAAAAAAGTGGAAAGACTATACAGTTGGCTTGCACAACTGGATGATTTTACTGCCACTAGTGGGAGTGTAGTTTGAGAGCTGAATGAAGAGAGCCAACTGTGACAAACGATGAATTGTTTGAGGCTTTGGGTCCTTTTACATGTGTTACACTCCAGCATTCATGTAAACGATAAAGACCCATGTTTTCAATGAAGAAATAGAAATATATTTGCAGTGAGGATATGAAAGAATATTCTCAGTTATGGCTTCACTGAAAAGATATTTCCCTGCAACAGTACAAGAGACTGGCAAGTTACAGATTTTTTTTTTGTCTGTATTGCGACAGAAGCAATCGCAGCTCTCAGAAAGCAGGTTTCAGTAAGGAATCCCCACCAGCCCGACAATATCCCAGATCCTTGGCAAAGCTCAGGAGACGGTGAAGAATCCCGTGCGTCTCCACAAATGAGTGTGGCGCCCGGAAACATGGCGGCATTAAGTCAGAGTCAGAAACTGCCTAGATACCTGCGCAGATGTACTTTTTAGAGTCTTTTTCTCTCACTGACAACAACCACTTGGCAATAGATACTCCTATTCTCCCTCCTCAGTATCCCTTAAAATAACCAATGTTCATTCACATCTTTAGCTCATGTTGCTATTATTTATTGCTCCAAGGAGTGCAGAAATTTCCTTTCCCATCTGGGCTTTTTCAGCCTATTGTGAGGGTTCTGCTAACTGCTGTAACAAGTAAACCTCCAAATTACAGTGCCTTAATCACAGGCGTTTATTTCTGATGTTTTTGTTCCGTGGTGGCCTTCCTCACAGGGATTCAGCACCTATGCTCCTTTGTTCTTGTGATTCTGCAATACTGTCAAGCAAGAATCAGCAGCTTTTCTCTAAAGTACCTACCAGTAAATATGTTAAGATTTGCCAGTCATATAGTCTCTGTCAAACCTGCTCATTGTAGCTAAAACCAGCCATAGACATACCCAAATGAGTGTGACTATCTCTCAATTCAACTTTATATATGAACTAGAGGCCCGGTGCACAAAAATTTGTGCACTCGGGGTGGGGGGAGGTCCCTCAGCCTGGCCTGTGCCCTCTCACAGTCTGGGGCCCCTCGGGGGATGACCATCTGCTGGCTGAGGCCTGCTTCTCGGGGGATTTGGCCTAAGATGGCAATCAGGGGATGTCCACTTGCCAGCGGGGAGCAGACCTAGCTGCAGTCAGACAACCTTTGCCTGCTGAGGAGGCAGGAGAGGCTCCCACCATCACCGCTGTACTGGCAGCCATCAGCCTGGCTTGTGGCTGAGCAGAAATCCTCCATGTGGGAGCTCACTGACCACCAGAGGGCAGCTCCTGCATTGAGCGTCTGCCCCCTGGTGGTCAGTGTGTGTCATAGTGACCAGTCATTCCCAGTCTTTCTGCTGTTAGGGTCAGTTTGCATATTAGCCTTTTACTATATAGGACAGAGGCCTGCTGCATGGGTGGGGGCCAGCTGGTTTGCCCTGAATGGTGTCCTGGATCAGGGTAGGGGTCCAGCTTGGGTGCCTGGCCAGCCTGGTTGAGGGGCTGATGGCTGTTTTCAAGCTGCCCACATCCCCTTCAGGGTGGGAGTTCCCACTGGGGTGCCTGGCCAGCCTGGATGAGGGGCTGAGGGCTGTTTTCAGGCTGCCCGCACCCCCTTCAGGTTGGGGGTCCCCACTGGGGTGCCTGGCCAGCCTGGATGAGGGGCTGAGGGCTGTTTTCAGGTTGCCTGCACCCCCTTCAGGGTGGGGGTTCCCACTGGGGTGCCTGGCCAGCCTGGATGACAGGCTGAGGGTTGTTTTCAGGCTTGCCACACCCCCTTTAGGGTTTGCATCCCCACTGGGGTGTCTGGCCAGCCTGGATGACGGGCTGAGGGCTGTTTTCAGGCGGGCCAAGCCTACAACTGAAGCTCCCAGTCTCTCCTTTTTTTCTTTTTTCTTTTTTTATTCTGGGATTTATTTAACCTTCTGTAATTGAAACTTTGTTGTGGCTCCAGCTCTGAGGCCAGCTGGCTGAAAGCAGGTACCTGGGGTTTGTTTAGCTTCTATAATTGCAACATAGTTGCTTAGAGTGCAGCTCAGAGCCCGGCTGCGGCAGGCGGTGAATCTTAACTTCCTCCATCACCGGGGCAACCAAGCCTCATATTCACTTCAGCTGCGTGGCTGCCGGCCGCCATATTGGTTGGCATTTAATTTGCATATCACCTTGATTAGCCAATGGGAAGCGTAGCAGAGGTGCAGTTAATTACCATGTTTGTCTATTATTAGATAGGATACTGAATTTCAATTTCCTAGAATTTTCACCTGTCATGACATATTATTTTCCTTTTGATTTTTCCCTCCAATCATTTAAACATTTAAAAGTTATTCTTAGTTCAAGGGCCATAGAAAAACAGGTGGCAGGCTAGATTTGGCCTGTAGGCCACAGTTTGGTGACTCCTGTATTAGAGTGAAAAGAATATCAAATTTAAAATATTGTGTGCTGATCATTCAAACTACTTAGAATTGTGTTGTGTTCCTTTGTTTTAGCAACTGGACATAAAGTGTGTCCCTCTTCACTTTGCTTTTTAACAGGCTCTGGAACTCTGGCTGTGTCACATCCCATTGCTGCCAGCACCCCCGAAGGAAGCAGCTATGGGGCAATAGGTATTTTCTACGAGTCTATTCATGGAAGTGCTTCCTAATTCTCCAGCCACTAATGACTGTGAGAGCGGGCAAGGCAGTCATCACATACTAGTAAGACTGTATGGTCTTTGTAAGATGAATTGGTTGGATGATCTGGAAGATTCCTTCCAGTTCTAACTTTTTCCGGTTCTATTATTGTTTCTTGGATCTGCTAGCAACACTTGAATAGAATTCCCTATAATGGTTTGCCATCAACATCCCAAGGCCCCCATGGAGGTTTTTTCATACCCAGCCTGTCGAGGACTTGAAAGATGTGTCAGAGTCTGATGTTAGGGAGCCTGACCTCACCTGACCAGCTGTTTCATTCTCAGGTTTCAGGGGAGTAAGGGTGGTCAGAAGACTAAGGCTGAGCTGCAGGTGACCATGGCTGAAGCCCCCCAGTCTTTCCTTTGGGCTAACTTCATAATTGAAATTATGAAGTTATGAACCTGCTCACTGACACCCAGTCATGCACCTGGCAACCCCCAGAGTTCATTAAGTGGCCTGAAGGAAACAGAATTCCCAGCCCTGTCTTTTGGAGTAGGAGTGCTTTGATGCTTTCATGCACTTCCATGACACTGATTGGCCTATGAATGCTGCACCTCAAATGTCAGTGTAGAGAGACTGGGATCCTGTATCCCTGCCCTATTGTTCTGTAACTATGAGAAGCATAGTCAGTGCAGGCGACTTATTTCTGACTCTGCCAGAACAGGAGCTTTTTTTATTTAGCCATCTGAACAGAAGAAATAAAGCGGAAGTAGGCTTGGCACATGTGTTCATCAAGCTGCACAGATTCCCATCTGCTCTGGGAAGTGTTCACGGGGACACAAGGATTCCTCTTCCTGAGAATGTTGTTTACATTATGTAATCCTAGATGTGGCATGTGGGGGATTTCCGTGTACAAATACTTGATCCACAAGCCATGTAGAGCTGCTGGATATGGGTGTGCTGACAAGTATATGTGGTAGATGCTATACATAACTATGTGCATGCATATATTTACATATTTATGTTCATATTTTATATATGAAACAGGAAATATAGCATATTATCTTTGTGTCCAATCATTAACAGAGCAGATGTCTTTATATTCTTAAAAATAGAAGAGGAACATTAAAAGTTTGTTGAGGAGGAATTGAGAGAAAGGCCATGTGTTGTGGGTAAGGTGTTAGTTTTTACTAGTTTAGTCAACAATGTGCTTTTCGCAGAGAAGAATGGGCAACCTGGGTTCTTCTGGACTTTGGAAGGCAGATGAGTGTTCTCTGTTTCAGATGAGTCAAGCTCCAGTCCCGGCAGGCAGATGTCCTCCTCTGATGGGGGGCAGCCATACCAGTCAGACTCGGACAGCTCTGTGGAGGAGAGTGACTTCGACACCATGCCAGACATTGAGAGTGATAAGAACGTCATCCGGACCAAGGTACCTCTGCCTGGCTGTCCTCTCTGAAGGGCAGTTGATTACAACTTCAGCAATGCCTTTGTGTCCTTTTTTGTTTTCCTTCAGGCGAAAGTCATATTTCCCAAAGGGCTTTTTAAGGAAACTATAACTATAGACTAGAAGCAATCCTCTAATTAGCACTTCTGTCTGGAGGAAGAAAATGAGAACATTAAAGAGAATAGGGCAGCAGAACACCCTCAGGGTCTGAAGGGACAGCTTGTGGATAATAAAGGAGAGAGGGATCCAGCCAGATGGAAGAACAAATTCACTGAAGGGTGTAGCTGGGAAAGACTTTCTGGTTCTGTGCACATCATCCTTCAGGAGTAAAGTGTGCTTCTTTCTGGTGTATACTTATTATATTGTATTTATCTGGGAAGGTGTATGAAGATGAATTGCACAGTTTCAGTCCTGCAATTCAAGAACCACACTGTGGACCTCTTTGAAAACCAGGAAATCAATTTTTAAGATATAAGAAGCATTCGAGTCCCGCTAGTTTTTCCACATCAGCCAATCCTTAATAGTCCAAAAAGAAATACTAAGATTTTTATTATGATATTCTGGGATAAGCAAGATTAAAAGAAAAATCTTGTTAAATAAATTTAATTACCTAGTAAGGAATTGAACTGAAATTTGTAAAGCTCTCCTTTGTATCTTATGGGAGGGAAAAAGCAAGTACAGTTTTGCATTCTCTTTTTATTTGGCTTCCAGATGTTTCTTTACCTGTCAGATCTGTCCAGGAAGGACCGGAGAATCATCAGCAAAAAATATAAGATTTATTTTTGGTGAGTAGATGACCAAGAGGGCCATAGTTATCTTTATCAAAATTTAAAGGTTTTTTTGTATATGGTACCGTCACTTATATTACAGGTTTTAATGTTTAATGAGGCATAGATATAGGTGTTTCAAGAATCCATGCCATGCCCTAACTGGTTTGGCTCAGTGGATAGAGCATCGGCCTGTGGACTGAAGGGTCCTAGGTTCGATTCCAATCAGGGGCATGTACCTTGGTTGCGGGCACATCCCCAATAGGGGGTGTGCAGGAGGCAGCTGATCGATGTTTCTAACTCTCTATTCCTCTCCCTTCCTCTCTGTAAAAAAATCAATAAAATATTTTTTTTTTAAAGAATCCATGCCACATTCCATAGGAAAAATAAATTATAAGAGGCAACTGGCCCTAAATTAAATAAATACAAAGGAAAAAATAAGAATAGTAGTAGACTCCCATATGTGCAGGGAGCACACCAAATTCTCTTCCAGAAGGCTAATGCAACAATAACATTAATGTCACTACCTTGCATGAGACATGCTAATCTGCAGCCATCTCCTCTTCTCCTCACCAGGCCTTGCTCTTGGACGAACCAGGAATTTCAGGGACTAGATGCCTAGAGCATCTCAGAGTAGCTAGAAACTACCCCAGGATAATCAAACACACTGATGCCACCTCCCTTCGAGCTGAGAGGCTGAGCTGCCTGTCAAGGGCCCCTCCCTCTCCTCAAAACCCCAGGCTGACACTGACGGATCTTCTGACTCCTTTCTCTTCCCAATTATTTTACCCTTTAATTGGATTCAGATATTAGAGGAAAACAAGGGACAGTGGGGGCCACATGGAATTTCATAGTGGAACCTTCATTTTGGAACTAAGAGGAATCTAAGAGAGCCACATTCCTTTGTGTGATCCATCTCCCATGACTTGCATTCTGACCACGTTTCCTCTAATAACATCCTTAAGCAATAGATTCTCATTAGTAATTTGGTTAAAACAGAAGCAAGTATTATTTACATTGCTTTACAAATGACTGGAGAAACAAGAACCACATTATCAGTTTCTAATTGCTTTTGTGAGTTAACTAAGGAGTTATGGGGTGAAAACATTCTTTTTTAAAAAAACTTGAACAAAGATTTCATTGTTAATTTGGAAATAGCTATTTCCGGTTCTTTCTGCCTGCATAGGAATATCATCACTATCGCTGTGTTCTATGCACTACCTGTGATCCAGCTGGTCATCACCTACCAGACAGTAAGTGCTGCCCTGAACCCCAGAACCCACACTCTCATACTGCAGGGAGAGAGCTTTGCTGTGATGTACAGAGAAAGGTATAACTTGGGATTGGTCCAAAAATTAATTTCCCATTTGGGTTCTAATTGGACTTCTCCAATGCTTCATCTTTGACTTTTAATTCCCAATTATTTTATCAGAGAGAGGCTTGGGACCACTTGTATTGTTTTGTCTACCAATTCAAAATTATTACCTTGCACTCATTCAGTCATAGTATCTATCAATTGTGCCTATGATTTACCAGTTTGAAATCTTGACCATCATGTGATAATGAATAAATAAGTTTGCAGATCAAAACAAAGATGCCTGATGTCTCATTTAGCCTGTGCCCTCTCACTAAGAGGACATTTTTTTTTGTAAAAGTAAAACTAGCTTCATAAAACTAAAAAATATTAAAAGAAAACAAAATAAAAATAAACATAAATAATAATTAAAATAGTTTAAGAATCCCTAATACTCCTTCATAGAATCCAAGGGTCCAGGTCACTTGAGTGACCTTCCCTAGGATTTATTCTCTGTGAGAAAGTCCATTTAGATTAGCACGAAGCTGAAGGTGTCTCCAGTGAAGTGGTTCTCAAACTTTGTTGTGCATTAAAATCATCTGGGGAACTTTTAAAAATCCCTGTGTCCAAGCTGTACCCCATAGCAATTAGATCAGAGTCTCTTAGAGTGGAACTAGCCATCAGTACTTATTAAATGCCCAGTGATTCCAGTGTACAGCCAACTTTGAGAACCAAAGTTCTAATAATATTCAGCCAATTTCATATTTACTGCATGTACTACATTATGAGAACAAGTACTTTATGAGGTCTGATTATCACAATTTATAAACTAAATATTCTCTGAATACTTTGGGCCCCTGTCAGATGACATATCTATACTGTGGTCTGGGGAGATTCTTGATGATAGAGATGGTGGTAAATATGGAAAACTGAACACCATATCCTCGTGTCTACCTGCACTGTGGTTATTTTCACAGAGGATGGGACAGCTTCATGTCCTCCCAGCATTCATCTAGAAAATAGGACATATCATGGCAGTCCTAATAGGCATGTCCCAATGTTAGCATCCTTTGATACTCCTTTTATCATGAGAACAAAGGGAACAAACTCAGTTGAATTCCACCTTGAGGCCGTGTAATGAGGAAAACAGAATATTTCAATTCAAAGCAAGATGGTAGCATCTAAAGGAAATGTGCCTGTGCTGAGGGGAGGTGGCAGATAATGACCCAGCCTGATGAGAAGGAGTGCTGGTTGCACTGAGTCACAGACAGTCTATCACTGTGAGCAGTGCTGCTCTTTGTGATTTCAGGCTTGGCTCAGGGGACCAAGAAAAACTGCATCTCTGCTTCTCGCTCTTGATTTTGCAGGTGGTAAATGTCACTGGAAACCAGGACATCTGTTACTACAACTTCCTCTGTGCTCACCCTTTGGGTGTCCTGAGGTAAGCCCACTCCACCGGTTGCCATTTCTAAAGGCTTTTAGAAATGCCTTTCTATGTAATGCTGTGATTTCAGTTTTTAAAAAATACCAAAAACACCTGTGGAAAACTACCCCAGTCATGGATAAAGAGGCATTTAAATCAAGAAGTTGAGACCAGACATGCTTCTCGCATTCCTGTATGAGGCGTCAGGAAATGTTCCTAAAAATAATCTGCTGAGGTGAGGGCAGGGATGTTTTTGAAAACATCAGGTCCCTAGTTGTGATGACACTTTTCCATGGGCATGAGCTGCTAGTACATTCAATCCATTAAACAACCTCATGAGGAAGACAGTGTTACTGTCACCATCCTCCTTTTTAGATGAAGATGCGAGGGCAGTGATGGCGAACCTATGACACGTGTGTCAGAGGTGACACGAGAACTCATTTTCTTGGTTGATTTTTCTTTGTTAAATGGCATTTAAATATATAAAATAAATATCAAAAATATGTCTTTGTTTTACTATGGTTGCAAATATCAAAAAATTTCTATATGTGACACGGCACCAGAGTTAAGTTAGGGTTTTTCAAAATGCTGACACGCCGAGCTCAAAAGGTTTGCCATCCCTGTGCTAGGGCTTAGAAAGGTAAGGACTTGCTGAAGGTCCCTCAGCTGTCAGTGATGTAGGAACTTGAACCACACTTGCTGCCCCTAAGACAGAGGTGGGCAAACTTTTTGACTCGAGGGCCACAATGGGTTCTTAAACTGGACCGGAGGGCTGGAACAAAAGCATGGATGGAGTGTTTGTGTGAACTAATATAAATTCAAAGTAAACATCATTACATAAAAGGGTATGGTCTTTTTTTTTTTTTTTTAATATATTTTATTGATTTTTTACAGAGAGGAAGGGAGAGAGATAGAGAGCCAGAAACATCGATGAGAGAGAAACATCGATCAGCTGCCTCCTGCACATCTCCTACTGGGGATATGCCCGCAACCCAGGTACATGCCCTTGACCGGAATCGAACCTGGGACCCTTCAGTCCGCAGGCCAACGCTCCATCCACTGAGCCAAACCGGTTTCGGCTTTTTTTTTTTTTTTTAGTTTTATTCATTTCAAACGGGCCGGATTCGGCCTGCGGGCCATAGTTTGCCCACGGCTGCCCTAAGACCATGCTGCAACCTCCAGAAGTGGAAAGAGCCTTAGCCTGGGAGTTGGGAGCCTGGCTTCTTGTTCTAGAACAAGTTTTCTGAATTAAAGCCACTGGTTGTGACCAGCTTAAATCCTGATATTCATACCTTCAGAGCTAAGTGTTGACACAACACGGATCCATCTATGAGAATTCCCTCTCACACTGTAGCTGAAACACTTGCCCAAACTGCCCATCTTTGGAGCATCTCTCTTTCCCAGGATTCATTCCATGCCAGTGCCCATGGGACCAGAGAGGATTGAGAGCATAATAGGGAAGCATAGTCCTGGCCGGGTTTGGCTCAGTGGATAGAGCATTGGCTTGCAGACCAAAGGGTCCCAGGTTCGATTTCGGTCAAGGGTACATGCCTGGGTCACAGGCCCGATCCCCACCAAGGGAGCGTGCAGGAAGCAGCCAATTCATGATTCTCTCTCATCGATGATGTTTCTGTCTCTTTCCCTCTCCCTTTCTGAAATCAATAAAAATATATTTAAAAAAATAGGGAAGCATAGTGGGCACTCCTGAGAGGAAGCAGCTACATTTTACAGGCCTGGCATCCTAAAATGAACGGTTAAAGATGATCTCTGATGATTTTCCAGTCCTGGAATCTTTTTTTTTTTTTTTTTTTTCAGTCCTGGAACCTTATGAAAAGGTTAGTGGTGGAAAACACGAATGCTGCGTTCCCTCGCTAATTCGTGCATTCATTCTCTAAATCTCTCTGACTGCCTGACTCCCCCATGGTTTCTCTCGTCCCTTCAGTGCCTTCAATAACATTCTCAGTAACCTGGGGCACGTGCTCCTGGGCTTCCTCTTCCTGCTGATAGTCTTGCGCAGGGACATTCTCCACCGAAGAGCCCTGGATGCCAAGGACATCTTTGCCAAGGTGAGCAGAGGGCGGGTGAATCACAAGTGGGAGCTACAAGGGCTATGATTCCAAACCAGATCTACAAAGGGGAAGAACATCTTATGGGTGGTGATGATGGTTTACGATGCTTGAGGCCAGGCTTGGGCTCCAGATTCTGTGGCTCTGTCACTCACTGGTATCTTTCTGTTGACCACGCTTTCTCCTTTTCCAGGAGTATGGGATTCCCAAACACTTCGGTCTCTTCTATGCTATGGGCATCGCATTGATGATGGAAGGAGTGCTCAGTGCCTGTTACCACATCTGCCCTAATTACTCCAACTTCCAATTTGGTAATTAGAATTTACATCAACTACACGGATTTGAGTTATAGGATCCTTATCCTGGGACCCTCCCCAAAATGCCAAGGTCATACCTGCAAGAATTAAACACCATTTAACATGAACTAAAGCCCCAGGACACCTCACTACAGGGCATGGTTTCCACACATTTTCTCTCTGATCACGTTTTAGACTAGACAACTCCTAAGACTGAATGTTGATCTCATGGCCATATCTGCAGGTGAGCCGTGGGCTAATCTTAGGCAGCAAGTCAGCAGGTAGAACTCACCAACTAGTGTCTAGAAAGGTCCTCAGTATAACTTGGCCTAATTTAGCAGTTAGATTGCTTTGGGATGGATGTAATAGAAAAACCAATTAAAATTGAATGAAATAATAAGGACATTTATCAGCTCAGCTCACCACCTGAAACTCCAGAGGCGGAAAGGGCTAGTAGCTCTGGTTCCACTTCTCACCTGTTGCTTTTATTCTCAGGCTGTCAGGGAACTTAGGATGGCAAATATAGTTATAGCTGATTCTGGCTTCCTGTCTCCACCCCACGATGTTTGGAGGACACAGCTTCAGGAGCCTTCGTTTAAGAGCATGGAAACTTCTTTTCTAAAAGTCCCCCAGATAACATTCCCCCACAGCTCAATAGTTCATTGAGCCTATTCCAGAATCATAGTCATGAGCCCATTCCAGACTCATTCCCTATGTGCTAGTTAGCTCAGACTTGGGTTGCTACACTAATCACAGTGGCAAAGAAGGTGAGATTACCTTTAGATCAATGGGACCTATCCCTGGAACCAGGGGTGAGGTTAGCCTTCTTAAAGCAAATTGGCTTGACAGGTATGCATTTCTGAATTGAAAGCAGGGCTAAGAAGTCTGAGTTAGCACTGAGCTGCTGTCAGGGAGCAGGAGGGAAGAGCTGATGCTGGTGGTAGGCAATTAACAATGTCCTCTGTACTCAAGAAGAAAGGTTTTTAAACAGTCATTTTTATGTTTGTGCTCTAGCCTCTGGCTATTAACTTAGAACACCTCAGAAATTCTCTGTCTTATTTTATTTTATTTATTTATTTTTGCTTAATCCTCACCCAAGGATATCCTTTCCAATGATTTTTAGAGGGAGTGGAAGGGAAGGGGGAGAGAGAAAGGAAGAGAAACATTGATGTGAGAGAGACACATTAATTGGTTGCCTCCTGCACATGCCCCCAACTCGGGCCAGGATCGGGCCTGCAACACAGGTACATGCCCTTGACCAGGAATCCAACCCAGATCCTTCAGTCCAAGGTCCAAAGCTCTAACCACTGAGCAACTGGCCAGGACACTCTGTCACATTTTAATTTTTTAAAATTAGAAAACATTTTTAAGAGGGAAAACTATAGAGAACAATATCATTCACCACTCAGAATAAACAAATGCCAATATTTAAAAACATTTGACTTAAATCTACTTTTTAAGAAATAAAATATTGTGTAAACTTCTTGAACTACTTTCCAAATTTATTCCCCTCTTTCTTTCCCTAGAGGCAACAACCATGATTAATTTGGTATTTATTCTTCCAGTTTGTTTTTATAGTCTTACTACATTTATAGTAAATTGATATTAATTTACTACACTCTGTTCTGTAACCTTCTTTTTTCATCCAATAATATGTTTTCAAGATTTATCAATATTGAATCAAGGACAGCTCATTCATTCATTTTTTTTTAAGAATTGTCTTATTCTGTACTAAAAATATACCACATTTATCAATTCCTCTATTGAACAACCTTCAGATGTTACCAACATTTTGCTGTTACAGATAGTGCTGCAGTGAACATCCTTATGTTCAGCTCTGTGTATATGTGAAAGAAGTTCTCCGGGGTACCTAAAAGTAGAATTTAGGGGTCACCTGCAATGGAAGATGGGCATCTTTCATTTTACCAAAAGCTGACAGGTTTCTCTCCAGAGCATTAATTCCTACTCCTGCTAGCTGTGGGAGAGTTCTCATTTCCCACATCATCACTGGCGTGTGTTATTGTCAGGTATTTAGATTCTTATTAGATTGTTTAGTAACATGGAATATTGCATTGTTGTTTTCACTTGCATTTCCATAACTCTCATGCAGCTAAGCCACATTTAATTTATAGCTGATGGGAAATCCCTAGCCTATAAAGCTATGCAGGAGCAGCCATCAGTGTGGTTACGTTTCAGGATGCTGAGAAGGGCCTCCTACGCTCACCTAAGATTCATTTTCTTGTCACACTGCCTTAATTGTCACCACGAGGGCTTTTTCTGTTATTGTTGTCGAACACCAGCGTTTAAACACAAACACCCCTGCGAGTGGGAATAGTCAATTATTTGTCATATCAGGTAAGTTTCTTCTGTGAACTAGGAACAGCTTTCTTTGGAGGGATTCAGAAGTGGAGTATGTAGGGGTTGCCTAGAGAGCATGCCTGCAAGGCAGGCATATTGGAGGTCTCCACACAGTCTAAGGGCAGTGGATACCCCAAGGCCTGAAGGGAGGGGGTTTTCCGAGGCTGAAGAGAAATCTGTCTGTTGCCTACTGGATCCTGATGGTCTCGGCTCCTCCTCTGCACCTGCAGACACCTCCTTCATGTACATGATCGCTGGCCTCTGCATGTTGAAGCTCTACCAGACCCGCCACCCAGACATCAACGCCAGCGCCTACGCTGCCTACGCCTCCTTCGCCTTGGTCATCACACTCACGGTGCTTGGAGTGGTGCGTCCCTCCCCATGACTTCAGCCTCCCTTTCAGAACGAACCTTCTTGGAAGGTTTTTTGTTGTTTGTTTGTTTTGGGGAGCTCAGGTGAACGGAATTGAATTAATCATAATCCTTGGTTCATGACACTCTCATCGTTGATCCATTCATGGCATTTTATTTGCTTATGCGGCTAGTTATTTTTTATAATGTGATTGGCACCTATAAAACTACCCCTGAAGAGTTTTAAGCTAAAGCTGGGACTTCACTCACGTGAGACTGAAGTAGGGATGTACAAGACTGGAGAGACTGACTTCAGAGATTAGAAACCACTTTCTAAACATGCATGGACAAGTGTTACCTGTCTGCAGCTATTTGAAGAGCAGTAGTCCTCAACTTTAAACCTCTCACCCCTTCACCACTGCTGTTCAGCTGCTTCTCCCTTTTCCATTTTTATTTGGCCAGGTAGCCATTCTGTTTCCTGCCCTGGGTGTAGTAAGACCCCTGTGAGGTCAGTGAAGGGGATGAGGTGGAATGTGAGGGGGAGGCGAGGGGGACAAAGTCACGCACAGCTTGGTTTTTGACTCCTTATGCCAATTTGAGAGGGAGCTGATCTTAGAAGTTCTCTGGGGAAAACCGCAGGTGAAGGCAACTTCCATCTTTTCTTCTAGGTGTTTGGAAAAAATGACGTCTGGTTCTGGGTCATCTTCTCTGCTATCCATATACTGGCCTCTCTGGCCCTCAGCACCCAGATCTACTACATGGGTCGTTTCAAGATAGGTGAGTCGCCTTTTACGTAATACTAAGCACACTGAGAAAACACTGTTCTCACTGATCCAGCCATCGTGAATACATGCTCTGAATTCTGTGTTGTGTTTCATAGCATACATTCTCTCCAAAACCTCCTCTCCTTCACTGGGTTGCAGTAAACTACTATCACTAAGACTAGTCACCTGAGAAACTACGCTCACCACACCTGAGAGCTGAGGCATCCCCAAAAGCTTTGCAATCCACCAAACTTTGGAAGTGCATTTGCAGAACAACATGATTGCCATACCACTGATTCTACCTGGGGGTGTTTTTTTGTTTGTTTGTTTTGTGGCATTTAAAAGGGCCATTTCTTTAACCATGATAAATGGTTATCAAGAATGAATTATATATTCTTTTCAAGTTCTGGGACTGGAAATTTGAGACCAACTTGCCAATGTTAGCTGCAGGATACCTCCTGGACTCCCTTTGACCTTGTGAACATTGAACATTGGCACCTGTAAAACTACCCCTGAGAAGACTGACTTCAGAGATTAAAAACCACTTTCTGAACATGCATGGATAAGTGTTACCCACAGATATCAGCTCTGGCCTGCTGTTGGTCAGTCATCACACGTGGGAGCAGGTTCAAGTCATCTTGGAGCATTTAAATTTCACCTGCCATTTTGAGGTCCATGAAGTCAGACAAATATTCTTTGGTCTATGTCAGGGGTCCTCAAACTTTTTAAACAGGGGGCCAGTTCACTGTCCCTCAGACCGTTGGAGGGCCGGACTATAGTTAAAAAAATACTACGAACAAATTCCTATGCACGCTGCACATATCTTATTTTGAAGTAAAAAAACAAAACGGGAACAAATACAATATTTGTATTTGCATGTGGCCTGCAGGCCGTAGTTTGAGGACCCCTGACCTAGATGGTCCAGGTTCTAATTTAGAATTCACGGTTCCTCAGAACATAGCTCTCCTGTAGAGCTGGTCCCCAGCCCCTCCCTCTTTTCTTCCCACCTCTGTCTCTGTCCTACATCTTAAGGGGTCTCATAGGTATGCATGTGGACACCCTTGTTCTACATCCAAATGGCCACTCCTTGCCCCTGGAAGTACATGCTCCAATGGTGCCATCTGCCCCACCCCCAAGAAGATAGACCCGGGAACGGGGCTATGCAGACTCTGAGATCAGGGTCAAAGCCTTCTGGGCAGGGAATCCTAGGGTCCAGGAATTCAGACTGTGGTCTTGGAGGGGAAGGAGTAACCCTTGCCCTGCAGACTCCTCACTCAGTGAGGCATGAGGGCCTCCGAAATACAAGACCCCTCTTGCCCAGGTCCGAGTGATTCTACATAAGCAAGTGGCTAGTTTATGAGGAGTAGACCTAATAAAGCATTGTCTTATTTTGGCAGTTTAGGCTTCCCTTTTGGCATGGCCGGTAGGTTTTCCCTTGGCACTGGCATGCCCATGCCTCCAGCTCCCCAGGGAAGCATCTTTAGCTGGTTGTGTAGAGCATTTGGTTTGGTGCACTGGTCACTTCCCATCCCCCAGACTCAAAGGTGAGTTAAGTCATACGGAGTCAACTTGCAAACGGAAAATAAGCTGAAGCTTCTGGGTTCTCTCAGAATTGGAAAAATAAAGGTAGTGCAGATACAGTAGTCCCCCACACCCCTCATTCATGGGGAATATGTTCCAGGTCCCCCAGTGGATGCTTGCAACTGTGGATAATACCAAACCCTATAAATACTATGTTTTTTCCCTATGCATGCGTAACTATGATAAAGTTTAACTTCTAAGTTAGGCATGATAAGAAGTCAACAATAATGACTAATAAGAAAATAGAACACTTGTAACAATTACTGTAACAAAGGTTTTGTGAATGTGGTCTCTCTCTCAAAGTATCTTATTGTGCTCACCTTTCCACGTCAAGAAAGCGTTTTGCGGCTTCTCTTTGGCATGTCCCAATTGCAGCGTCAATATTTTGCGCTTTGGGGACATTATGAAGTAAAATAAGGGCGACTTGAACACAAGCACCAAAACACCCGGACAGCCCATCCGATGACCAAGACGCCACTGAGTGACTGGCAGGCGGTGGGTGTACAGCGTGCAGATGTGGAGTCACATCCAAGCAAATTCCTGGGACTCACAGACTTCACCACGCTGTTCGGAGCAGTGCGCAATTTAAAACTTATGGACTGTTTGCTTCTGGAATTTTAAATTTAATATTTTCAGATCCCAGCCCAGCCAGGTAGCTTTGTTGGTTAGAGCATCGTCCTGATACGCCAAGCTTTCAGGTTCGATCCCCAGGCAGGGCACGTAGAGAAGCAACCACTGGATACATGAATAAGTGGAACACAAACTGATCTCTCTCTCTCTCTCTCTCTCTCTCTCTCTCTCTCTCTCTCTCTCTCTCTCTCTTTAAAAAAAAAATACAAATTTTAAAAAATATTATTTTCAGACCCCGGTTGACTGCAGGTACCTGAAACTGCGGAAAGCAAAGCCACGAATAAGCGGCACCTACTCATGTGTAATGATGACCATTAACACATGGAGGAGTTTTGAATATATTTATACCACATTTATACCACTTATACGCCATAAGTTTTGCAATGCTGAATTAGTTATCTTTATAAAAAGAAGAAAGTTAATGCATTATGGCCAGGTAACATATACCTGCCAGGGTCTCCACAGAAAAAAGCTGTCACACACAGATTGAGTAGGATTTGCTCACAGAGGGACTATGCAAAGGACAAGGGCGGGTAGAGAAGAATGGGAGGGCTAGCAGGGCACCCTGGGCTGGCAGCTGAGAAGCTTTGCCTCTCCATGAGCCCCAACGGACAGGCAGGACACGGTTACCGCGACGTGCAGAGAGAGCATGATGAGGGGGCAGCCACTCTGAAAAGAGCGGTGACCTTTGGTTGACAGACACAGGGAGGGCGCCAGGAAGGTAAACACCCTGAGGTCGCTCTCCTTCCTCTGTTCCTCCAGTCTCCTGCCGGGGTCTCCCATTGTCCAAATCCACGCAGGGCCAGGAAACCCACCGATGTCCAGTCAGCCTCCAGGCGGCGCAGGGCAGGGCCGGGCGTGGAAAGCAGGTCTGCAAGGGCAGACAGAGAGAGCCAGTGTGCAGCTTAATGGAATATCTGCAATTTCCTCACCCAGAGTCTTCCCCCAAGTGGTGATAGACTTACCAGAGTCAAAAGGAAAACTCTATTTCATTGTGACGACGACTGCTTTTAGATTTAGTCCAAAGGCAGAAAGTTGAGCTAGTGGACAGAGGCACCTCTTTGCCCATTTCATAAGCTACCTTTGCTTTCTCAAGTCACAAGCTCCTTTCTCTGTGGCCCTGGGGGCCATACGTGAAAATAAGCATGGACACAGGAAAGACAACAGGAGTGAGGCAGAGCATTGCATACGTGGAACAGAGAACCACACAACTGCTTGCCCAGGTCTCTATCGTGCTGCCAGGACCCCAGAAAAGGACCCCAGGGAGTGCTCATGATCAGGGTGGGTTATAAACTGGAAGCGGGACACAAAAGGAGACACAGAGAGAAATCTGATTCCCTCCCAGAGAAACAGTACATTTCTGAATGTCTGAAACAGGCAGACAAATTCTGTGCTTTATGATGAGCCAACATTACTTTTCTAATCAGAAAATAACTTTCAAGTCATCCATTTAGAGAGAAAAAGAAAATAACCAGTAGTTTACCTGTTTGGCTACCTTCTTACAGATCTTTCTCTTTCCCATGTCTTCTCTGCTTTCCACTGACTCAGAGGTGTCTGACACAGGTAATGTCCAGCAGCCCTTCGCAGGGTTCTAGATTGTTTCCTTGACAACGTGACCCCCCAGGTTTCCTGCCAACCCCCAGAACACCTCCCTCCAGGTTGGACAGGGTGGTGGGTGGGGAGCCAGAGAGAGGCTCAGAGGCCAGGATCACTCCCACCCAGCCTGCGCACGGCTCTGGGCTATCGCATGGGCATGCCCCGGGCCCCCTTCCCTCTGTGTGGCTAAGAGTATAGTGAAGGCTGGCTGCATTGACCCCAAGGGTAGCATTCACAAGAGAGCGGGATCCACCCGCACGGGATGCTTGCCCAGCTTGCATGTGGTGTCTACAGTGTGGACAGCTCAGAGGAAGACAGCCCGTCTGGGATCCCGTCTCTGTTCCCGTAGCAGCTATAGCACGCACCCTCACAGTTTCCTTCTGGAGGATTGCATTTTAAAAAAAATCTTTCCTGTCTTTTTCTCCGCATCTTCACTACATTCCTCTGATTATTGTTCCAGGACAGGTTTGGGCTTTCTGAACATGCCCAGTAAAACCCAGTATCCCTTGGTTCAATGCTTACTGACTCATATCCTCTTTGAGAAATACAGATTAGAACTTTTACAAGCTAAGCTTCCCCATCCTCTGGAGAGAGCAGGTGTTTTTAAGGTGGGCCCCGCAACCTCTCTGCTAAAAAAGAAACACCACTGGAGGAAACTGTAAACCAGTGGTTCTCAACCTGTGGGTCGCGACCCCTTTGGCGGTCAAACGACAATTTCACAGCGGTTCGCCTAAGACCATCCTGCATATCAGATATTTACATTACGATTCATAACAGTAGCAACATTACAGTTATGAAGTAGCAACGAAAATAATTTTATGGTTGTGTCACAACATGAGGAACTGTGTTTAAAGGGCCAGAAGGTTGAGAACCACTGCTGTAAACGAAGGGAAACTTAGCTGGAAGAGACCCTAAAGGAGTTGGCCGGCCACCCAAATTCCTTGTGATTGACGGTTACGCGTATCCATCTTGCTTGCCCTCCTGCAGTATCACCCAGGGGTGTGGCTCACCCTCCATGAGGGCACAGGTGGGGAGGTGAGGGTGCCATTTTTAAAGCAACATGGATTGTGCACCTATTAGCTGCAAAGAACCATATTTATGAGGTGAAGACGACATCGTCCTGACCCCAAAAGCTCGGGCCCTGTGGGAGTGTTTTGTATTATCTCTGACCAAGCCTCTTACCACACCATTGTGTCCCCGGCAGATCTGGGGATTTTCCGGAGGGCTGCTATGGTGCTCTACACGGACTTCATCCATCAGTGCAGCCGGCCTCTGTACATGGTATGTGTATGCTCCTGCACCCCTTGGCTTTCTCCCAGAGAGTAGGGGAACAGCAGGAGGGGCAGGCTCAGGGCAGCCACTCAGCCTTCCCAATCCAGAGGGCCAGATGGTCCAGGTGGCTGAGGTCCATCAGGGGCAAGAAGCCTGCTGTTTATTCTTCTTGTTCGTAAGAAACAAGCTGGGATGGTCCCGCATTTGTACATGAAAGATTGCTAGTACAGAAAGAAGAAATATATATGCGGGTGTGTACAGAACTATTAAGCAGTGATCACTGCTGTGGGGCGTCCCTGTAAATAACCCTCCGAGGAAGTAAGATGATTTCCCTTGAGTAAGTGAAAGGGGCGCTATCAACACCGCACCAGGTCGGCAGACACAGGCCAGACCCTCTCAAGCAAACTGGGACCTATGGCCACTCCAGCAACTTTCCTTAGGAACTTACACTGCCCCCATTATACATGTGTTTGATTTTTATGCATTGTTTTTTTGTACAATGAGCAAGGATATTTTTTCAAAATTGTGGATCTTGCTTAGTGGTTGAAACACAACTTCTTTAAATTCTCCATTCTAGTTTTCGGTATATTATATCTTTCTACAATGAGCACAGGAATCAGGGCCCTGGTCACAGCGATGTCTCTGCTCACTGGCAGTGACCTTGGGAAAGCTACACACGCCCTCTGAGCCACGGCCCCCGCCTTGGAAGGTGCTCGGGGAACCCCGTGTGCCCTGCCAAATAGCATCACTAGTCTGTGGTCCCTTAGCACCTGCTAATGGTTTACAATCAGAGGACTTTTACAAAAAGGAATGTGGGGTCCCTTAGCCCACTACCACTTGTCAGGACCTGTGGGCACTAAAAATTGAGGGGGCTGAGGCTGAGGGGGTTTCCGTGTTTTTTCTCCTCCTTTTCAGGACAGAATGGTGTTGCTCGTCGTGGGGAATCTGATTAACTGGTCCTTGTAAGTAATCTTAGGAAGACACCTTTTTTCCTCTGTATTAATGCCTCTAACACTTCGGTTTAGCTTTCCTTGGTTGTCATTTTTATAAACAAATCTGAAATTAAGGAGACCATAAGATTGAGCTTGCCCTAGAGACTTGAGAGAAAGGCATTTTTCTCCTGCGAAGAATGCACTGAGAAGCTCTTGTGTACCAATAGTAGCCCCCCTTAAAGCGTTGAGTTCAAAGCATTGAGTTCATTTGCTCAACAAGACAAACATCGAATTAGTGGATAGATTAGATAGATAGATAGATAGATAGATAGATAGATAGATAGATAGATAGATATTATGTCTGTAGTTGCAAAAGTGCAATGTAGCTTTAAATATTTTTGAAGAACTTTCCATAAAGGCTACCCAGCCATTTGTCTTAGTGTGTGTGTGTGTGTGTGTGTGTGTGTGTGTGTGTGTGTGCACACCTGCATGTGTGTAAAAGTCTCTTTCCTAGTTATTGTTTCTCCCCCTAGGTCTCATTCTTCCTACTCCACCTACATCATTCTTCCTCTTCTTTCTCTCGTTATTGGCCCTTTTTCCTGCAAATGGCCTCAAAATAGAACAGTACAATAGAAGTATATTTTTGCTAGCTGTATCTATTTTATGCAACCTATTTTCAACTAAAAAATGTGAATGAGTCTGGCCGGGTGGCCCAGGTGGTTTGGACTATCATCCTGTACACCAGAAAGGCTTGTCAGGGCTCGCAGGAAGGAGGCAACCAGTTGATGTTTCTCTCTCTCTTTCTCTCTTTCTCTTTCTTTCTCTTTCATTTCTCTCTCTCTCTCTCTCTCTCTCTCTCTCTCTCTCTCTCTCCAATAAAAACATATTCTCAGCCCTAGCCAGTTTGGCTCAGTGGATAGAGCGTCAGCCTGTAGACCAAAGAGTCCTGGGTTCAATTCCAGTCAAGGGCATGTACCTCGGCTGCAGGCTCCTCCCTGGCCCGGGCCCTCGTCAAGGCACATGCAGGAGGCAACCAATCTATGTGTTTCTCTCACATAAATGTTTCTCTCTGTCTTTTCCTCTCTCTCCCACTCTCTCTAAAAATCAATGGAAACATATCCTCAGGTGAAGATTTAAAAAATATAAGAATGAGTGAGATAATTTATTAATCCCTCAAAGATAAGTAAGTTTAGCTGCTTTTACTAGTGGTTCTTCGCTGATGGGCACCTCTGGGTCAATGACCTTTGATAGAACGATAACTCTCTACTTCTGTTGCCCTTTAAGACATAAGAGGAATGAAAGAGGTATACCTTCAGGGAAGCCAGAATCTCTTCAGGATAATTTGAATCTTATTGGGGCACCATAAGCTTCTGGAAGAATCTCCCCACAGTGCTGTCACCAAGGGATGCCCTCAGGATAAGGCTTATGACTGTGCAGGGCCCCTGCTTTACATGGGGGTGAGTCGAGATGGACGATTCTTGGCAGTGGTCACCTGCGGGGCTGTTTGGGGCCGCCCTTTTAGGGCAGACCTGGTGACTGTAAGATGGGGTAATAAATTTTAGTATTAATTTTAAAACCATAGACAGCTATCCAAAGTTGGTCATGTGTTTCAAGCCAATTATTGGGATAATTCTACTTCTAGTACTGCAATCTAGTCTAATGAAGTAATCTTCAGTGCAAAAGCAAGCACAGTGTGTCTGGATGTGTTCGTTCATCCATTCATTGTGTTGTTCTTTATAATAGTGAGAAACTGAAGGGCGAAGGGAAAACCCTTCGTTGCAACCAGAGAGGAAAGGCGATTCTTTATGGTGCATCCACTTATGGGAAAGTTATGATCGATCGTTAAAAATGAACGTGCTGAAGAAAATGCAAGCCGTTAAAAGTTACTTATAATATGTTAAAGAGGTTTTTTTAATTCCCCTCCTTGCAAAAATGGGAGTGGGGAAGTGAAAAAAGTCAATAATGTCACAAATCCACCTTCGTGGCTGCAAAATAATTCCTCCCCGTGTGCTCAGCGCCCTCTTTGGACTGATCTACCGGCCCAGGGACTTTGCCTCCTACATGCTGGGCATCTTCATCGGCAACCTGCTGCTCTACCTGGCCTTCTACATCATCATGAAGGTAAGCGAGGCGGCTGGGAGCCGCAGCGCCTGGGCCCGCGGCTGGCGGTGCAGGCAGCCCCGCAGCCTCTGCCTCTCGCCCGCAGCTCCGCAGCTCCGAGAAGGTCCTCCCCATCCCGCTCTTCTGCATCGTGGCCACCGCGGTGGTGTGGGCCGCCGCCCTGTATTTTTTCTTCCAGAATCTCAGCAGCTGGGAGGTAAGAGAAGTTTTCTTTTCCAAGGTGTGGCCCCTCTCCATCTGCCTTCTGACCATCTTGCTTCCCTCTCTCTATGTGCTAGTTGCTGTTTATCTTTTTGATATCCTCTCAAACAAAAGCTTTCTCTAAAAACCTCAATATCCACACACAAATGCTCAATGAATGGCACCTTGTCATCACTCTCAGGGTAGCACTCATAGATGTGTAAGTCCTACAGACTCTGCACGTTTGACCTTCTTTATGTGTTGTGTTACGATCCTGTTCCCAATGAGTGTTTAACATGTGCAAAAACCTTGATTAGTGCCAAAGCCGGTTTGGCTCAGCGGATAGAGCGTCAGCCTGCGGACTGAAGGGTCCCGGGTTCGATTCCGGTCGGGGGCATGTACCTGGGTTGCGGGCACTTCCCCAGTGGGGGATGTGCGGGAGGCAGCTGATCGATGTTTCTCTCTCATCGATGTTTCTAACTCTCTATCTCTCTCCCTTCCTCTCTGTAAAAAATCAATAAAATATATTAAAAAAAAGAAAAAAGAAAAAGAAAAAACCTTGATTAGTGTATCTTCTCCCCCTTTCTCATCATAAGCACCATCCATAAACAAATACCCAGGTTCAGGGGTCTATAAGTCCATTTCATAGATTGGAAAGCGGAGGCCTAGGAATTTAGTGATATTTCTGAAGCACAGAACGTGTGAGTCTCCACTCTCCATCTCCACAATCACCACAATCGATTTTAGAACATTTTATCACTCCATAAAGAAACTCCCCATTTCTCCTGAATTCCTGAGCCCTAGGCAGCCACCAAACTATCTTTTGTCTCTATAGATTGGCCCAATCCGAACACTTCTTAGAAGTGAAATCATATACTCTGTGGCTTTTGAACCTGACTTTCTTCATGTAGCATAACATTTCCTAGATTCACCCATGGTGTATGTAGCATGTATCTGTACTTCATGTCTTTTTATTGCTGCATAATATATTCCATTGTATGGATACACTACATTTTATCTAGTCATTCATCAGTTGATGGGACATTTGGGTTGTTTCCACTTTGGGGTTCCTATGAATGACGCTGTTCTGAACATTTATGTGCAAGTTTTTTTGTGTGTGAACATGTTTTCTTGGAAGCTAACTTTTTGAGTCGGGCCTCTAGTAGCATTTGTGTAGCTTTCTGGAAGCTCAGCCCTCTGAACAGCTGAACTGTGGGAATGCTCGCCCACATCCAGCCTCACCTTCTTCCAGGGAACCCCAGCTGAGTCCCGGGAGAAGAACCGGGAATGTGTCCTGCTGGATTTCTTTGATGAGCATGACATCTGGCACTTCCTCTCTGCCACTGCCCTGTTTTTCTCATTCTTGGTGAGTTGATACCTTTTTGTTAATTTGTTCTCTCTTTACATCTTGTACTCTGTCTTTTTTCTCATTCCCTCTTTCTTACACCCTCTTTCTTTTTATTCTTTCTAATTTCCCTTTCCAATTCTGCATTGTAATTTAATGTCCAGATTGTTTCATTTTTTTACATTGTATCTTCTGGTTAGATAGTTATTTTTCTTTATTCTTCAATAGTTTAAGACTCAGAGTGACAAAATGATTTCCCTTAAGCTTCACAACATTTGGTTATCAGAACTCACATGCCCAGAATCCCCCAGGCACTGCTTTTGGCATCCACTAAAATTTTGATAGCATTAGGCTATTCCTCCTTATGCTATCTTCACATTCCTCCTTTCAGTTTCAGTGAATATAAGTCATTTACAAATTCCTGGAGTAGCTCAGGATAGCATCCAGGCCTCTGTTGCCTTCTAACCTATCAGTTCCAAATCTTTCATTTAGTGCCTTCATTTCTTAACCCAAACACCTTCCCAGAAGCCACGCATATTGTAACATCCTCGGAAGATAACTCCCAGCATTCTTTCACATTAATTTTGACTTTCATAATTAAAAGCCCATGGTACCTGCACAGGTTCATGACAAATAGCAGGAGTCGGTCTCCAGGACTCCCAATACTGCCCCCTTTAAGCAGTCTCTGCTGGCCTTATTGCCTCAATAGTGGAGCAGGGCTACCCCCTTGTGGCCAGTTTCAGAAGTTTACTCTGTATACTCACTCTTGCTTAATAAGGCTTTTTTTTGTTTGTTTTGTTTTTTTTGTTTTTTGTTGTTGTTGGGTTTTTTTTGCAGGTCTCAGAGTGGTGCATGGGGTTGATCTCAAGGCTTTTATTTTTGAGTCACTTTCATTAGAGAGAGACAGAAATGGAGCGAAGGGTTCGATGTGGAGAGAGTGATGGTGGAGGGGCCTACAAATGGAGGAGGAGGATACAGTTTATGTGTAGTAACACTTTATGCAATAAGACTTCATTTCCTTTAGGTCTTGACATAAATGGTCCCTTCAAAGTAATGACTTCCTCAGCCACCTCTCAACATGTTTTTACCTCACGTACCCCATACTTCCATGTTCTTGTCATAGTTAGACTTTTATCCTTAGTATATATTACCATCTAACATACTATACTTAGCACATGTTTCTGTCTAACATACTACATATGTCTTACTCATGTATTTGCTTCATGTCTGAAGACCTCTCTTGAATGTAAGCTCCAGGAGGGAGGGATTTTTTGCCTCTGTCATTGCAAGTTGTATCTCCAGCACCTAGAATAGCACATGGTAGACCTTGATTAATTAATAAATGAGATATGTCATTAAAATAAGTGCCTGTTCAGGGCACGGCGTTGTAGAAGGCCGCGGAAGACATGAAAACGAGTAAAGGCACATGTTTCAATCCGCATGTGTTTCAGAGAGAAAGTAACGACTTACTGCGGCTGTAACTGTGCATTCATTTCATTTCTCCGTCCCTCTCCTTTCAGGTTTTGTTAACCTTGGATGATGACCTGGATGTGGTTCGGAGGGACCAGATCCCTGTCTTCTGAGCCTCCAGCATTAAGAGAGGAGAGAGGGAGCGATCGATCTTGGTGCTGTTTCATGAAAAATGCAGGGCCTGCAGCAAAGTAACCACTGCCAAATACTCCACTCCCCCCCTGTGGAGTCAACTCTGAATATATTCACACAGAGAGGAGAGGAGCGGGGGAGATTCAAACCTGCAAGGGTGGAGGCAGCAGGGAAGCCAGGGCTATGGACAGAGGCAAGCCCTGAAGCGTCGAGAAGCCCCTGTCCCCTTATGTCGCAACTCTGAACTAGACATGGACAACCACTGCATCAAATCAACTCGCTATCATGGGGCCCCTCCCACCCTCACCTGGAACCCACCAGCAATGGCTGAACGAAGCTGCGCCCTTCCCTCCAGCTGCCTCCATGCCCACCAGAAACTTGAGGTGGGCGCCCTTTGCACTTCTGCAACGTCTGCTGCTCTAGCCATCTCAGAGCACCAGCTCCGTGTCCAGGGCCCTGGGCTGATGTTGGCTCCTCAGAGTCTGGCAGAGGAGTGGACAGATGTTTTATCAGCACCAGCTGGGCACCTCCTCAGAAGGACTGCTGTGTGTTTCCCCCAGGTTCCTCACCTCCCTAGAGAGACTCTGGATTGGGCCTGTCACACACTCCTCCTAACAGGTCGCTGGGGCCAGAATTTGGGTGCTTACCTATTCCTGGTGTCTTCATCTCACTGCTGTGTGTTGACCCCAACACTCAGGCTCCGCCTTCTCCGGAAGGCCCTGCTACCCCACAGACCAGCTCCAAGGTGGAAGGGAAATGAGAGAACTTTTCTAGCAGCAGGAGGAGCAAGAGAAATGACCGGCAGGGCTGAGGCGAGTGACATCAGCATCAAGCAAACATGCCTCGCCTTAAGGACTTGGGCTCCTGGAGAAACCCAGCCACAGCAAAAGGGCATCCTCGTGCCTCCAGTTCAAACAGCGCAATTCTGCGCCCACATCACCTTTGTGGAAGAAATGGGTGTTTCACCAGGGACACTGCACTGGGGTCCTGTACACTGACCCAGCCCTGAGCTGTCACTTTCTGTAGATCAGGGCCTGCAGACATGCTCCCTGGAGTTCTCTAGAAGCAACTCTCAGGCCGATGCATTTTACTCTAACTCTCTAGTTGCAAAGAGCACAGGACGTTAAGGATGGCCTTGGTCACACCTGATTCTCATTGTCTCCCCGTAAGGTGTTGAGAGCTCAGCATCCCACTTCCCTCCCCACTGTCTGGCTGCTCTGCACCTGAGAGTCCTACTTCGACCAGGCTCCTTGTTACCTGAGTGGGATGTAATCAGAAACTACGCACACAGATGTGCACACATGGATATATATCTGCCTGTGAAGTCACCTCTCACCTCTGCTTTCCTGATCATTCATTAGAGAAAAGGATCAGCCATTTAAAAAATTTAAAAAAAAACAACTAGTGTCCTTTCTCTGAAATATCTAATAATGTTCAAAAACATTATGGAAGTTTGAATGGCAAACGTTCCCTGGTTTTAAAAACACAAAGATGCTTTAAATGAAATGTTGTGATGTGTGTGTGTGTGTGTGTGTGTGTGTGTGTGTGTGTTTCCTAAAATGCCCCCAAATTTGTAATTGGTCTTCTGTTACTCTTTATTCCTTAAAAATTATTGGCATTCCACCCTGGAGATAAAATCCTTGCCTCATTTACATGATCGTGGTATGATCACATGAGCTAACACATACTGGTGAAAGTGTTCTATAAAATAAAAACTCGTAAAAAAAAGATATTGTTGGCTTGCGTAGGCCATATGAAGGCCACCCATTAAATGGTTGCGTTAATCTAACATCTAAAACAAATTTTGAATCTGTTTAACTATGGCTGATTTGAATTAATTCATTTCTTTTAATACACTAATGGTTACAAATCAAAAAAAAAAAAAAAGGTCCCACTAAGGAAATGTGAACAAAGTCTGTTCAAGTAGCTCTGTGGCCTGAGGTGAGTATTTTGTAAGACACATTACCTGTTCGGTAGCTTTTTGAGAAAATACATCCATGGACATGGACATGGGAGAGGCCTTGTAGAGATGGATAAATTGTGCTCCTATATTCTTGATCATTTTCTGATGTCTGTCTTGTGCTATAAACTCATACACTGTGGTCAGTTTTGTTCTCTACAGCAGAACTAAAAACCCAGACCAAGCCCACTCATATATTAGTAAACTAGAGGCTCGGTGCACGAAATTCGTGCACTCAGGGAGGTCCCTCAGCCCGGCCTGCACCCTCTCTCAGTCAGGGAGCCCTCAGGGGATATCTGACTGATGCTTAGGGCAGTGATGGCGAACCTTTTGAGCTCGGCATGTCAGCATTTTGAAAAACCCTAACTTAACTCTGGTGCCGTGTCACATATAGAAATTTTTTGATATTTGCAACCATAGTAAATCAAAGACTTATATTTTTGATACTTACTTTATATATTTAAATGCCATTTAACAAAGAAAAATCAACCAAAAAAATGAGTTCACATGTCACCTCTGACACACGTGTCATAGGTTCACCATCACTGGCTTAGGACCTAAGCCAGCCATGGGCAAACTACGGCCCGCGGGCCGGATCCGGCCCGTTTGGCTGTTCTATCCGGCCCGCGGAGCCGAAAGAGCGAAGGGTTCTCTTGCTCTCCCCTCCGCTCCTTCACCAGCAGCAGTGTTAACATGGCAACGTCAGGAAGCACAGCCGCAGCTCCTTCTTCTGAGTCCAGTTTAAGAACCCATTGTGGCCCTCGAGTCAAAAAGTTTGCCCACCCCTGGCCTAAGCTATCAGTAGGACATCCTTAGTGCTGCCACGGAAGCAGGAGAGGCTCCTGTCACTGCCACTGCATTTGCCAGCTGTGAGCCTGGCTTCTGGCTGAGCGGCACTCCCCCTATGGAAGCGCACTGACCACCAGGGGTCAGCTCCTGCATTGAGCATCTGCCTCCTGGTGGTCAGTGCGCATCATAGTGACTGGCGGTTTCACTGGTTGGTCAATTTGCATATTAGCCTTTTAGTATATAGGATATTAATCCTAAAGGTACTTGTTGCACATTCTCCCTACAGTGCTGATCTCGTGGTTGGAGGGCTCAGTACATGGTTCAAGGGCACCGGAGGGGTGGGTGGGAATGCGGAGCAAGGGCAACCAGAGTTGTTTAGAGCCGATGGCCCTTCCCCTATGTAGGACAACGCCTGTGCTCCTGGACTGCACTCTTGACAGGGGAAGGGAAGGCAGCTCTGAACACCGAGGTCAACGGGAGGGTAATTGGAGAAAAACAGCCCTGCCAGGCGGGTCTTGGCAGAGCAGGCCCAGAAGTAATGAGAGCAGATCACCTGGAGCCGGACTGCCATGTGGCGGCCAAGGGGGCAGGACGGTGCACGGGAAACAGCCTCTTCACACCTCTGAGGAACACCTGCCGGTGCCGGATGGCTGCGGCTTAGCTGGGTTATTTTAGCACGGGCGGGAGCCAGGGGAAAAGCAGGATCTATCTGAGGAAGGGACTTTCCGTGGCCGGACATCACCCGGCCAGCTCCTGGGGCAGAGAAAGCAGCAGCTGCTGTTTTGCAGCTCCAAACAGCCACAGGAGTGTTCTGTGGGGCCGCGAACTGCACGTGTCAGTAAAGCAAGCAATGCCCACGTGTTTCTCATTCTGGGAGACAGTCTCTCCAGGTAAAACCTGGGGCGAAGGGAGACAACAATCAACGTTCTTCATAGAAGGAATGCAGAGTGGGAACAAGATCCTTGCGTCAGACTTGAGTCCAAATACATTCGCCGTGGGACCCCCGGCAAGTTGCTGGAACTCTCTGATCCCCACCTTCCCATCCAGGTGCACTACCTGCGGGTGACAAAGGTGGAGGTGTGCGGAGCACCAGGAGCCGGGCCCACACAGAACGGCCTCGCCCAGCACCGCGGGGAGGCAGGGCCAGAGCTGATCTCTCCCCGGTGTGTCTCCCTCCTCCAGGGGCTCCTGACACCAGCGGTTTTGTTCCCCACCGCTGCCGCTGGGTTCCTAGAGGCCTTCATGGGGTGGGAGGCCTCACCTGCAGAGATACTGCCTGGAGCTATCCACCCTCCCAAGCCGCCCGCCCCCCCTTGCCCTTTGTTGCTGCATTCCACTTTCTCTGGCCCTTAATACTTTTATTCCAACTCAGGTGAAAAGTTGCTACCACAGCTAGGGCCCAGCGGGAAGCGGGGCTGGGTATGATGCCACACTTCACCACTGCCTTCTCCATCCGGGCTGGCCTCCTCTCTCCAGCAGCTATTGCTACCGGTGCAGGGAGCGCCATGTGCAAACGTCCCCCACCCTCCCCGCCCATCACCAAAAGCCCTGGTGGTCGGCTCCAGTGGAGCAGGGCTTCCACCTGCACTGACCAAGCAGGTCCCAGGAGGAGGAAGCATGGGAGGTCCCTCGGGTTTTGAAATGACCTTGCTCACCACAGTTCTGCCAGGTTTTTAATTCTGTTTTTAAATCTGTGTTTGGAGAAGTTGCACCAGTGTGGCTCCGTGTTTTTTGTGGGGGTTTTTTTTGTTTTGGTTTTTTTGTTCTGGGTGTTTTTTTTTTGAGACTCAATATTTTTATTAGGTATTTTGGGGGTTTTTTTGTGGGGGGGTTGTTTTTTTAATTAAATCTTTATTGTTCAGATAATTACATTTGTTCCTCTTTTTCCCCCCCATAACTCCCCTCCTCCCAGTTCCCACCCCACTCTCTGCCCTCACTTCCACCCACTGTCCTCATCCATAGGTGCACGATTTTTGTCCAGTCTCTTCCCGCACCTCCCACACCCCTTTCCCCCCAAGAATAGTCAGTCCATTCCCTTTCTATGTCCCTGATCCTATCTAATAAAAGAGAAACATGGTAATTGGCATATGACCACTAACCTTCCCATTGGCTAATCAGGGCGATATGCAAATTAACTGTTACCCAAGATGGCGGCCGGCCGCCAGGCAGCTTGAAACTAACATGAGGCTTGCTTGCTTCAGTGACGGAGGAAACCAACGTTCCCCGCCTGCCTTGCAGGCCTCTGAGCCTGCAGTTTGAAACATTTTAACAAATATAGAAGCTAAAAAAAACCCC